ACTATGTTTCAAGATTAAAAGTATTGAGATAGCATTGTGAATGCAAAATTATAATGCTGAATTATAATGAATTATTATGAATTAATGCTATCTCAATACTTTTAATCTTGAAACATAGTTTATGAAATCTAAACATTTAACCAATTACAGAATTCTATTAAAAATAGTCACTATTTTCATCGACGAAACGTAGTTTTTACTTAACATTATTTAAATTGTACTTTTATATGGCAGTTTTACAATAAAGACCACTTTAGAAACACACATATTGTGATATCACGTCTTCACAGTACGTTTGCTTGTATAAATGATCCGATTATAAATTCAATACTTCAACTGAACGCTTTTTATAAATGTTAACAAGATTCATTGTAATATAATGGGCTTGTGAACACAGGAAATCCTGGAAAGGGCCTGGAGCGTCGGACATAAACAAAATATAGAGACCTAAAAATTTAACCTTGCAGACTGACGTCATAACGTATTCTGAATTATAAGTACGCATATTTTTTAATGAATAGATGAATATCGATAGATTTATCATTGCAGACATACTGACAGATTCTGTTCATAAAATTTCAGCTAAAAAACAAAAGATTGTGTATTTTGAATTCATTAAAAAAACGAAAGAAGAATTTTCTTTGTTGAAGGAGTATGTAATCGACTGCAAGCACAATGTACTGTAGACTGATTTTAGCAAAGAAAAAATCATATTCAAATTAAAAAGGAAATAAAAAAAAACCGTTACACAAAGAGGCTGGCAAAGCTGTCGTCAACAGAGTATTTATATTTTTTATGAAAGTATGTATGTAAATTGATTTTTCTTGACTTGTGTACCATTTTCTATTGAACTACATAGCTGTTTCTCCGCGATTTCGCCTGCGTAACTTATAACCTATGGGTAACATGTAGCTTCCCGTAGATGAAAGGCTTTTATAAATCGGTCCAAGTTTCAAATAAAAGTCGAGCATATAAACAAATTTTTCCTTTCTAAGATTTTCACTATGTTGAATATTTTTATTTATATAGATATTTAATATTTTTAGTGTTATCTATTATATAAAAAATATCTATATCACTAATATGCATGAAATAAAATCTTAAAAAAACAGGACCGACTGCAAACGTTAAAAAATGATAAATAATATTTATATGAATAGCGGCTTCTTCAAGAAAATGCTATTGAAGGCAGGAGCCTATTATTCAATTAATAAACCAGAAGTCCTCCGCCCGACTTCAACTTAACTTCAATTTTTTAATAATTGTTCTTGCTTAAATAATCATTAATATTCTCATTCTTTGAAAAAACTTTAACCTCAATCAAAATTTAAAAAATGTGATTGCATACGTCATTGTTATGTTTCAAACTTCAGTTTATTCTATTATAATTGTTTTTAGGGTTCTATACCCAAAGGGTGAAACGGGAACCCTATTACGAAGACTTCGCTATCTGTCACCAGGTTGTATCTCATGATCCGTGAATAAAAAAACCAGAATGAAATAAATATCTAAAGGGTCTCCCATACAATGAATGAATTTTTTTGCTTGTTTTCGATACGGAATCCTACGTGTACAAGTCCGACTGGCGCTTGGCCGTTTTTTGTTACTTTACGATTTCTTGTTTTTTTTTTTAATTTGCTTTAATGTCGTTTACTACAAGTATTTCATTAGATGAGCAATTCGTTACGATATGAAATGAAAAAGATTCCCAACTAATTCTTTATTCTATCCATCGTGATCCAAAATGCTTCAACAAAACTTAACAAGGCCATCCGTTACGAAGTCAAAGTTTATAAAACAAGAAACTGTATACCGCTCCGTTACCACATTTATAGTTACACATAGTGAAGTTTTGGCATGAATTTTCTTTTGTCGGTGGCCTTGTTTAGGAAGTTTATGCTGTGTGGTACCTAATAAACGGTTTTTATTTTATGTTTATGGTTAAGCAAACTCGGATTTATAGCGTTGGTCGCCTCGATGTGGATGACAATTTTTATCGATGCCGCATCATAGTATGGCTGTCCAACTTAAAGTAGGGTAATATTTTCTTTGGTAGGATATAAACATGACTTACATCAAATTACTTGTCTAGTTTATTAGTCATTCTAATGGAAAATACCTTTGATCCGCCAATCAATATATGCACTTGTATCAATCATAAAATTTGCCAAGCATTTATCTGATTCGAGCTCTAAGCGTCTTTATTTTTACAATACCGTTCAGACGTCTGCAATATGGCGAGTAAATCTCTGATGTTTATCTTTGTGTCGACAATTGTAGCTCTTATCGGCGCACGTCGCGTGGGGTTCGTCTTTAATTCGATAGTGATTATTATTATTGTTCATTCACACATAATGGTAAGCTAATGGGTGTTTCAGAATCGGCATTGTAGCGGAAGAACCACGTACAGAATATTCCTTTGTCGAGCGTTCACGCAGATAATCGACGAATTTAACTGGAATGCTCTTACGTGTCAATGCAGTTTGTTACATTTCGTCTTACGAGTGAAGTTTATCTTTACGAGCGTTTGGTGGCCAGTCGGGCGCCGCGTCGTCTGTATCGTACGAATGACACCATCGAAACTATACGTATAGTAGCATTTATGTTTGCCTTGACACATCTCCTGTTCACATCGAGTGTCGTTTGAAAATCCCGTCTCAAATGTTTGTGACAAAAGTTTCAAAGTAATGTATGCGATAAGGTTAGATCGAGTAGCATTATTTTTTGAATGAAAATAACACAAGGTTTCATGTTGAATCTTTAGAACTTTCGAACTTAGTCCAAGCAAACCGATATAAATTTGATGCCGAAATTATAACGTTAACGTTTTATTTGATTACACTGTAAAGTCGTTCTATTTGTTTCCTACTATCATCAATTTCGATTTAGGTACATTTATCTTCTCGCATGCTGACTTTCAAACGTTTTTACTACTTTCATTGTGCGACTGTTCGTTAATCTTCATCCAGTAGAAAAGTGCAGTGTCAACCTTCTTGATATCTCCATAAGCAATCATAATGTTTGCTTATTACATAGCATTTTAATTGAGAAACATATTATTTCTATATTGGAAGATCTTTATCTCTATCTGTATTAAAATAATTTAAAACATTTATGTAGACAGTCGTGCCACATAACACTCTTGTTTGCGTTAACAGTGACTCCTGGTATTTCGCGTTTATTGCTTTAAATGCTATTTGCGAATCGTTTTAGCAACTGTTAAACTGGATTGCTAGATTTTATTGCGTCTGAGTTTCCGATTAATGTTGTATTTAAGTACAGATGTCTATAAATGGAACCATTATTAGCTACCGTTCTAGATCGAAAATAACTTTACTAGAATGTTTAATAAGTGCTATTTCTGTAATGTAAGGACATACGGGATTCGTTTCTGTAAAAATATGACGTCCATAGGTCAGTGATGGATTGTTTGTATAAAGATTGTCTATAAGGATAACAGGAAATCAACATATTAACGAGACGAATAAAAACGATGTATTGTGCGACACTATTTTCAATTGAACTACCAATTGCATGTGAGTGTATATCACGGTTATTGTAATATTTGTCTATTACACTACTCGGCTATGGTGATTTACTCACTTATCAATTTTCACTGTAAAAAGAGAGAATATAGTAGTATAAATTTATATATAAATTATAAATTTGATATATAAGCTATATTTGGGAGAATAAACAAAGATATGAGGGTAACACTGTTTATATTGCTGTAGACTGAAATAGCTGTTTATTTGCAAGAGTAGTCTTTTCATTGAACAATATCGTTTAACTACATATACTTGGGACGTTACAATATTATTACACCTATTATCTTGCCTTGTTGTTGCAAATCTCATTTCAGATTCTATAGCACCTAAAGTGGAAACGAGCTGCAATATTGCATTAGAGGGGATAATGCCACTATTATACTAATGTAAAAACTACGAATGGTAAACTTTGTTATAGCAATCTTCATACGCAGTCTGTTTAAAAAATATTTTGTCTCCATCGATATTCTAAAACAAACAGTACCTAGTATAATCTTGTTCTCCTATTTAGAACCAGCAAGATACTTGTGCACTGCCTTTCGAAAATCTAAATGCAACTGCACAAATAGCAAACATACAAATATATCTCGGAACCATGTATTTCGCCCCTCCAAGAAACAATAATAGGAGTTATTATATCTTGCAGAGTCAACCAAGTCAATTTGGATCTAGGTTACGGATCTCGATCCAGATTGACAGGGTAATGGCTGCCTTACAATATTTGATGGTGAGCTCTGTGAAGTCTGTTCAACACTCTTGCAATGTCAACTACCAAGCATCAATAGCTTTATTGATGCTTGGTAGTTGACATCGCAAGAGTGTTGAAGAGACTTCACAGAGATCACCGCCAAATATTGTGGTTTCACCAGCTGCTTAGCTGTTAGATTGTTTTGGATTGAAAACCGACTGGGTATGGTGCCGTTCAAGTATTACGATTATCATCCCTCTGCCTATGTAACGCGCGAGTAACGTTTTTTGACCACTCCCCTACATAAACGTTACTTAACACTAAAGTGACCAAACCTATTGGTTTGCCAGCAGTGAAAAGTTGGTTGGCATTGTTTTGGTACAGTTGTGCTGGTAAGTCAGCTTGAGAGTTTTTATAGATTAGAAACAGCTGGTGATGTGGTGAAATTTCCTCTTTTAAGGATATTACGGTATAAACCCACTTTCATAAAACTTACTATAGCAATGTTCTTTGGCAACTTTGGAAGATCTTAATTCCGACAAACCGATGTTACGTAACGCCAAACCCTTTAATGCATCGTAACGATTTACAAGACCCCTCCCCATAAATTGCGTTTTGTAATACTTGAACACCCCATTATATCGGTAACCATAGATGAAATCTGCAAAAAAAAATCGCAAGCAAATAATTTGACTTCAGAACTTCTTTGCATTTCCTCTGAAATTCACTTTCTTTATTGTAAATGTAATTGAAACTTTTTGCAGGTGGACTGCCCATTCATCGTATGCATGACGTACGCTTTTCACACGCCGGACAAACTCTGTTTTATACTGGACCTGATGAACGGTGGTGATCTACACTATCATCTGTCCCAGCATGGCGTGTTCAACGAGGCTGAAATGAAGTTCTATGCCGCCGAAGTCATTCTAGGTATGTTATATTAATATGTTATCTTTTTAAGTTTCAGTAATAAATAAAAAAAGCTTTTGTCCGAACTGCTGGACCCGTTGAGCATTCGTGCATATTTCAATATGTAAGAATAAACGAATTAAGAAATATTAAACACGGAGTTTAGTTTGTGGGTAATTAAAAAAAAAAACTTTCGTTTGGATGTTTGTTACTTCTTCTCGCAAACGGAGATTACTGAACGGATTTTGATGAAATTTGGTATATTGGTATATGGAGCTTTTGTCCCATTAAACAGTTCCCTAGGGACCACGCGGGTAAAACTGCTGGCAGAAAGAAAGTATTATATAAAATTTATTTTATATACCTACATTCTTCTGGCGTTATATTATTAAAAGAAATGTTGAACATGTGTTTATACAAATAGTAACCCCAAGTTTCTTTTTTCATAAACATATTATGCCATATCGCCCGCGACATGTCTGTGTGGGGTTCGGCAAATAACATGTGAAATATGTGTTTATTTGGGCTCGGTTGTTTGTGCTGTATTCGTTGTCTGATGTCCATAATAACTCTTCGTGAATTTGTAGACGGTTGACGATCGATGGTCATATTTAGGGTTGCCTACTTAAAGGGTAAAAACGGGGCCATATTACGAGGACTCCGCGGTCCGTCCGTCTCTCACCAGGCTATGTCTCATGAACTGCTATAGCTAGACAGTTAAAATTTTTACACATGGTGTATTTTTGCTGCATCTGTAATAAAAAAATACAATGAAACGAAATTAAATAAATATTTAAGAAGGACTCGCATACAACAAACGTGATTTTTTTGCGTTTTTCTTAGATAATGGTACGGAATCTTTCGCACGTGAATCCGACTCGCACTTGACAAGATTTTATATAACTATTTAGGTGATGACAGTTTTGTATTTTGATATTTTTATATTCAATTTATGGGTTGATTCAGGACTTTTCTGAGCCTTATGCGTAAGAATTATGAATAAATATTTGTAAAATAATAAAATAAAACCACTCTAATTTCTAAGTTACTAACTGTCTTCCTGTGACTTCCCCCGTGTATTTATAGTATATCTCACCCGCATATGATGCAGCTTAGAGTAGGTGAAAGAATTTTTAAAATCGGTCCATTAGTTTCCCGATCCTATTACATGCAAACACATAATCGAAGCTTTCCTTTTTATAATATTAGCATGGAAAACTCATTAATATTTTAACGTGATAATCATTCTCTTCCTGATCTTAGGCCTGGAGCACATGCACAAGCGACACATAGTATATCGAGATCTCAAGCCGGCGAATATCTTATTGGACGAACATGGCCACGTGCGAATATCGGACCTCGGACTTGCCTGCGACTTTTCCAAGAAGAAACCACATGCTAGCGTGTAAGTTTTCATAATGTAGGTAGTTAGATTGATATGAGCACTTGTTTAACACGGTGAGAGGTTCTAGTTTTGTAGATATAATTCATTTGATTCGAGAGATATAAGTTACGGCTCAAAATATAAAATATCAGAAGTTTAAAATATAAATTTATTATGAGACAATTTGGGTATTAGATTTTTTCGTATTTTCCTACTTCTTGATTTTAACAGAATGTCCCACGTTCGTTTTAATCATATAAATTAAATAATAGTCGTTATGTATATAGGTAGGAAAAACACACTTAATAAAATTGGAGCAATTATATAAATTACAGTATTAGTGTGCCACATGACAAGAAGGATTTTTTTGCGAACCGATAGAGGATTATATTAGAGGCCACACTTTGATACCTATTGAATACAGCAGATATATTATTACATATCATAGATGATCATTATTGTACTATGTATATGATTTTCACATAAATGTCTCTTCTTATTATATTAAGAAACTGGTAGAAAATTCCACAATAATTTTCAATTTGCAAAACTATTAATTTTCAATTATGGTTTTACTTCAAATATACAAGGTCATTTTTTTATTATTTCAAACATCAGCAAAGTTAATAATTCACAGGCACATATCATAAGTCTAATGTACTTAATATATATCTGAATATACTTTAACGCATTACTTTTTAATATAACTACTCTGATATAACAACAGAGTTATAAAAATAGTCATACGCGAAGACGCGCCTACGTGTTTGTGTGAAAAAAAATAAAGGCAAATAGAATTTACTTCTTATTAAAAGTTTAGTATACTACCATACTGACCCTGAAAATGAAAGAAAAACATTGTATAATGCGTCAATGACGAGTGGCAACTCGTCACGCGCAAGTCGTAAAACTCTACTGAGGCTATGGTTTTTTTTTATGCTGTTCTTTATGTAAGCGAGGGTCTGTCAAGGTCACTATTTGTACGACAAGTGACAAACGCATGATTTGAAACACAAACTTGTTGAGTCTAGCCGGGGTAGACGACTTCGACCATTGGACCACCAAGATAAAATTGATGAAAATTAATTTATTTTAAGTATTTGACATATATCTTTCATTTTTGAAATATTATAATGGTGTGATTTCAACTTAGGCACAAAATAGATTCATATATATTACTTATGAAGTACTGATTTTTTTTAAATAAACTTAATTTATTTTAGTTAATATTTTATTTTATGATTTTACTGGCGCAATATGATATGAACTATACCAGTGGTGGTGGCTGAAAATAATTGGAAAATATTATTAGAAAGAGGGAAAGAAAAATAATTTATTGTCGATATTTAGATTTGAGTTTAACTCTTAATCTTCTTAACTCTACCTTTTAACCTTTTTATTTTTGCACTTTTGAGCTTATAGATGTACTCATTATTTACAGTGGTACTCACGGCTACATGGCGCCCGAGGTTTTGTCTAAAGGCACCGGTTACGACTCATCTGCTGACTGGTTCAGCTTTGGGTGTATGCTGTACAAACTACTCAAGGGTCACTCTCCATTCCGCCAGCATAAGACGAAGGATAAACACGAGATCGACCGCATGACGCTTACTATGGTAAATATACATTTTTTATTAACTTAATGTAAGTGTATATTTAGTTACAGAGTTATAAACCATGAAAAAGTTAATCTATTGAAATATAAAATTTACGATTCATGAAATAATCAGTTTTTCACCAGTTGATGAACAATGTTATTATACTCGATAGTTAAAACTTCCTAACAGTACCAAAAAGGAACACCTATTTTTGTTGAAACAAAATTAAGGGTAAATTCAAATCCGTTTTTTTTCCATCACAGGTTAAGAGATCTTAAATATGAATTCCAATACAGCTTTAATCAGCCTATCGGGCATACAAATTATGATGTCAAAATATATTTTTTATTATTAATCATTGAATATTTATTTTACCTTGTTTATATTTTTCTTTATATGTTGTGTTCAAAGATGGAGTCACGTCTGCAATAGAATTACAATATGTTTCAGAATGTGGAGTTGCCGGAGTCGTTCAGTCCGAGTTTGAAGAGTCTGCTCGAGGGTCTTTTGCAGAGGGACATCAACAAGCGGTTGGGATGCAAGGGACGAGGGTAAGTTTAAATCTTGATATATCATCATCATAATCAGCTTTTAAGGTTCCCCCTATTTGACATATAGTTCTTCTCTGTGAAAAGAATCTCATAAGAATGTGAAATAACCCACTACTTAGGGTCAATGTGGGATAAGTATTTTTCGTTAGCCTATTAATGTTTCACAGCAAGGACACAGACCTTCCCTATGGATGGCATTGAATAGAGAGTAGAGACTGCAGATACAGCCGTGACCTACGGTTCAACATGATTTCCTGAGCCGGCGGAGCTGGAGATAATATAAAGTTTTGGTCATCCATCCTATAACCGGCCCTTGCGAAAGTTCCGCATCACAGAGCGAACGCGCTAACCAATGCGCTATTGAGCTCCTTATCTCCATTATTATGAAGTGAATATATTCTTCGTGTAAAGTCGTGGTTTGTTCCTTTACTTATAGTTTGTGTACAGTAATAGTTATTTAAGATACGAGTGCGGAAAGTAAGGTTTTACGAATAAGGGCCAAATTGAAAATACGAGCGTAGCGAGGGTTTTCATTGGCACGAATTCGAAAAACCTTTTACGCTCAAGTTTCTTACGACATTTTTCAATGCTTTTTGCGAGGAAATAAAACAAATATATAGGTTAATAAAACTAAGTATGTATTAAAGGTAAAAATTGTTTGTTAAAATTAAACGTGATATTTGAACATGTTTTCGTGTCGTACATTTTTATTTGAAAATATTCGTTCTAGGCTCCTTGAAATACTTTTGCCTCTAAAGTTTGACATATTTTCATCATTTTTTTTTAAATTTCTTTGGTGCTCGGCCAAAAAAAATAAAAAAATACTTTTAAGCACGTGTGCAGTAAAGGATTTCAGTACATTTTTATTTAACACGTGTTTAAAGACTCACTTTCGGTGTTTACAATGGATTAAAAAAATAGCGCTTTATGAGCAACTGCATTGAAAAGTATATTTCATTCATTTATTCATACTCAGAGCGGACGAAGTGAAGGAGCACGTGTTCTTCGCGGGCATCGATTGGCAGCAGGTGTACCATCAGAAGTACACGCCGCCGTTGATACCGCCGCGGGGTGAGGTAAATGCTGCGGACGCGTTCGATATCGGTAGCTTCGACGAGGAGGATACTAAGGGCATCAAGGTATGATGTAAAGATTTTTTTTTTCTATTCATTCAGTCTTAAGTTGGGTTATTTTGTCCGTCAGTGCACTAGCGATGGATCGCCGATATCTAAACTGTCTATATTTGGCAGCTAGTTATTTTCACGACGCTCTAAAGTCAAAGTGAATTGTTCTCTTATGCAAACGTGATAACACTCAATTTTGGGTTGGTTACTCGAACACTCCGAAAGTCAAACAACGCGGAAGCGGAACGTACGAACGTATACCTATTTCATTCACACATATACCGACATTTTATTGTTGTTTCATTCACACACACTTAGCAGTAGAAACGCAGTAAAATCGGATAAATTTCATAATGGACGTCAATATATCATTTTGAATGATAAATTGATCAAATATAACGATCTTAAGATATCTGAAAGTTTAAATTGTTTTTAGTAAATAAGTCTATTTTTATTGTGATAGCTCACTGAAGCAGACCAGATGCAATATAAAGATTTCCCGTTGGTGATATCTGAACGTTGGCAATCGGAGGTGGCAGAGACTGTGTTCGAAACTATAAACCAGGAGGCTGACAAGATGGAACAAAAGAAGAAGGCTAAACAGAAGCAGAAATTCGATGCTGACGAAAAAGGTTAGACACGGATAAATCAATTAAGGAAACTGTATCACTATATTTATAAACGACTCCTTATTCCAAAACGAGAAATAGATTGTACGCCTGATTGAAATAGGAATACTAGTGTCTTTCCAGCAGTGTTTTCTAACCTGTCGCGACCCCCCGGGGTGACGCGGAGCTTCTGTAGGGGGGGGGGGTCGCCATAGGTCGAAAGAACTTCATTAAAAAACAATAAAGATTAAAAAAATTGATTTATTAAGTAGGAGACTTTTAACAAAACGATATACTCATAAATATTTGTATGTTAATACAAACAAATTAACAAAAAATAAAATTCTAAGACTTGTTAATGCGAAGGATGTATCTTGTTAATGTGTATGGAATGAATATTTGTAATACTGTAAGTAACTGTTACAGTGTAACGTACACATAAATACATTATAAAAAAATGAAGGGTCGGGGGGTCGCGAAATTTTTTTATACCGGGGGGGGATCGCATCATGAAAAAAGGTTGACAAAACACTGCTTTACAGGAAGTTTTCAATCAATTGGTCCTTACCATTGCAATACAAACTGAGGCACCCTGCCCAATGGACCCATCACATATCTAAGTTCAATGACACCTTTTATTTGTTTTAATATGGCCCTTTTCTCTGTGATACACAAATTCTGCCAATGTCTCATAGTGAAGGAGACAAAAAAGAAATTGCTCAATAAATAGGGTTTTAATCGTTTGAGCATACTATTTCTTTGATGCTTTGTTATTTATTATTATTATTTTTTAATTTCAAATCTCATATTATTGTAAACGTGATGTTTAATAAAATTATTATTATTAGTAACACATAATTTTAGAAGGCAATATTTTAGTTATTAGACTTAATTTTTTAAATCAGCTTTACTGTTTACCTGTAAAATAATGCTATTCCGAATTTTCGTTGAAACTACTCGGAAATTTTGCGTTCGTACCTAAATAATGAGTCCCTGATTGTAACAATATTATATGTAAATATTTTATTTTCAGAATCAGATTGCATATTACATGGTTATATAAAGAAACTGGGCGGTCCGTTCGCCAGCGCGTGGCAGACACGCTACGCTAAGCTCTACCCGAATCGCTTGGAACTTCACTTAGAGAACAGTGCAAAGCCCGAGATGATCTTACTAGATACAGTTGAAGAAGTCTCCTCAGATCTCGTGTCTGTCAAAGGCGAGCAATGTATCGTGCTGCGTACAAGGAATGACACGAAAGTTGTGCTCACCAATACGGTAATTAGTTTCATTTTTTACTATCGTGTATGGCTCAGAGGAACATTTATTTTGGTACAAAATAATGAGTCATCAGATGATTAATTTTTTTCATTAACATGGTGCTTGCAAATACTTTTTGGATAAGTATTGAAATTAATTGAATTTTCCTGACTTTTTCAATCAGGATACATGACGAGAAGATAATAATTAAAAAAATATAAAAAGTTTTATGTTGATAGAATAGAATCTCAAAAGTCTTGCCGCCTAAGCCCTTTTTTAATACGATAAATTTACAGTCGCAGCTCTTTTGCCAGGTCTTCAACTAAATTCTTTACATCCAAATCTTAATTAGAACTTATCTAACGATCGTAGCAACGAATGTGTAATAAAAAAAATATGTATTTAACAGGACGAGATCGGACTGAAAGAGTGGGCGATATCACTCCGATCAGCACACAAGTGTTCCCAAGAGTTACTCGCGTCGATGGCTAAGAAAGCGGGCAAGATATACGGAACGGACGGTGCCAAAGAGGGAGGCATAGCGAGGCCTCCTCCCGCCGCCTCGCCCGCCCCCCCTCGAGCTCCAAACGGGGCCAACTAGCACGAGCTTCCCGCGCCCAACAAGGGCGCGAAGATGTTCCGCCGCTCCAAGAGCGCCGCGCAACTCATCAAGTGAGCGCCCGGCGGAACATGACAGTGACAGTAACAGTGACGTGACAGTGTTAGTGTTCCCCCGGTGGTGACGTGTATGTACTGCGTGTAGTGCGACCGCGCTCTCTCTCTACTCTACTAGAACTCGACGTGTCGACGTTCACGGTGCGGTGATAGGTGAGTCATGCCTACGGATTTTTTCAATTGTGGATAAATAAATTTTGTAATCGTTCGCACCGATTGAATTTTTGTAATTATCAATGTGACGTTCTGGATGTCGTATTTAACTTTGTAGTATGTATTGTAAAAATTAATAACTTATAAATTGAGTAGTTAAGTATAGCGAGTATGTTTTATGTGATTGTGCAATAGATCAAAATAATATAATTAAATAAATACATATTTAAAATGGTGATGACATCGGACCGGTTGATTAAAAATATGAGATGTATCACGACTCGAAAGATTGAATTGTTTGTCGTGCATATTATTATAGAAGCTTCAATTTAATCGATTTGTAATGTAAAATTTAGAAATTCTAGCACTTTGGTTACACCTCTGACTATTGCACACGAAATATATTGATATATTACATTTGTTTTGTGTTGTCTCTGGTGGCTCTCTCGTGCTATTATATGTTTCACAATGGAAGAGTTCCTTTTGTATTTATAAAATGAATGGATCAAATATATTTACTTATATAATAGTTTATGGTACTTAAATTATATATCCACACATTTTGTGTTCCATATTATTACAATAATGTATTAATTGTTACATATAATTATGATAGAAACCAATGTAAGTAGATCTATAAAAAAAATCTCTTCATATGATACTTAGAGGCAATACTTTTCTAACAACATTAGGTGTGGTGATTAATATAACAATAGATGTAAAGGCAATATTTAGATAAATTTTAAAAGCATGTTCAATGTCCAAGAATTCACATGAGATTTTATTTGAATATTTATTCCATAGGTGACTTATTATGGCATGGCCAGAATGACATTTTGTATGTTGTGTACATTTATATTGTAAATCAATGCAAATTTTATTTGAGATATAAAATCTTTGTGTCTGATGCAGATTTAGTTAAATGTTTATTATAGTTGTACCGTTTGTTGCCATGATTTTTAATATTATTATTATTTGTGTTCTATTATTGATAATAATAATAATAATGAAATATGTTGGGGCACGCTAAGCAACATGAAATCTTTCGAAGGACGTTACAGGGTGAGCCGTGGCGTTGTGTGTATATACATAATTTTACTCGTTAGATTACTTTCTGATACCTTTGAGCGTAGCATAGTCGAATGCAATAGTTTAGACGTAATTTGTAATATAAATACGATTATTGAATGAGTCGACATTGTTAGCAAAATACTTATGATGCCTAAATTAGATAATAATAAGAATGGTGTTAGGTTGCTGCTCTGTCAAATATAATTTATAAGTTATGATTTCCTTTTAGAATATTTTCATATTCCTAGTTGAGGCAGTAAAGTAAGTATGATACATACAGTACCTTGATATATTGGAATATTGTCACGATAACTATTAGATGCTAGTCAATTGAATTTTACTGCACTAAAGTCATTGATTTTTTAATGAAATTAAAATTGTAATGTAATAGTTTGAGCAGTATTATAGGTTAGTTGTTTATTTCTCGATGAGATCATTCTATCTATTGTGATATACCTTTGTAATGCGTAGATGCATTGGGTTAGTATATTGTCTTCTCTATGAAAGGAGTTTTTATTGTGATTGTGTACTTAGAATTTTTCAATCACTTAAACAATTGTATTTGTTAAAAGAAATCACAAAGTATATGCAACAGTGTAGGATATACTTAAGTATTGTAGATTGCAGTGAAACAGGCCAAAAATCGCTTAAAACTTAGCATTTCTAACTTTCATTTTATATTTGACAATCATGTGGTTGGAAATATACAACATTCCGGAATGCCAAATTAGCATTATGATAGTGGTAATAAATGCATTTAAAAAGAATTTTATTTACTTCTGTTTATTCATACGATCACAATGTAATATGGATTATTTAAATTTAAGATTTTTGAGTTGAAGTCACTCTAGGGCTGGCGTGGCTAGGTCTGCATCAGACAATGTGACATACCTCCGTTAGAGAATATTTTTATTGTGAACCTACATTATGTGTAGTAAATTGTTTATTTAATCAATATGTTGTTTTACTTAGTTGATATCAGTCAATATCATTATTACAACACTAATATTACAGCATCTTTGAGACGGCGCGGTGACGCCATGGCGCTGTTAAAGTATTGGGCCACGGTAGAGGCTCTCCAAAGCAGAGCCGAAAGAAGACAAACGATGAGCAAGGGCATTACCTTCTTTTTCTCTAAATGCTTCGTCGGATTATTGGACCCTCATAACTTGTTTGGATTACATCAAATTTTCGGAATGTAATCGCAATTAAAATATATAAAGTATCCATATACAGTATCAATTATATAGCTATTATACTTTTGATTTATTGATATCAAAATAAACCCCTATTTCAGTATTCATACACTCACCCTGCAGCGTAGAAATCTGAAATTTGTTATGTATATTAGTAAAATATGCATCACTATGAAAATAAGTGTATAAATGGCGACATTAAATTGTTTAGGACCCACCAGATAAAGTATACCTCTCTTTAAAGAATATGACATTTTGCTTTTGTGGAAACGAGAATAACTATGTTTGTAAGTTTCGCTTAAATGTATACTCTCTATCTTGTAGATATTTCATTTTGTAGATCAACAATATTTCTTCTTTTTTATTAATGGCTTATCTGCGCATTTAGCACATTTTTTCTTGATATGAACAACCAGGTCAGCACGCCAGGTTACCACAATAAGTGAAATTATCGCAATTGATTTTCAACTCTACCGACAATGTATTAAAGTTTAAAATCAATTCATGAAACTTGACTCTGTACCGACAATGTATTAAAGTTTAAAATCAATTCAAGAAACTTGAAAACTAGTATTAATATGTTGTCTATTGTTCATTTGACTTTGTCAATATGAATTCAGTATATGTCTAATGTAACTAATATTTTTATGTTGATTAAAGCCAATATTCTAATGATAAATTGGTTATTTCTATCAATTTAATCAACATAAAGAAAGCTGATAAAAATGTCGAAGGAGAAACCTGAAAGTTCTACGGAAGAAATATCAAAACAAATGTCAAATATGTCTCGCTATCTCCGACCGGAAAGATTTGAATCTGAACCGAATTCTGTGATGGCCGATCTCAAATGGAACCATTGGTTAGCTACGTTTACTAACTTTTTAAACGAAGAAGGTCCTCATATTTCTACTGAGTTGAAATTACGTTTGCTAATTAATCATTTGGCACCTACAATATTTTCCATAATAAGAGATTGTATTACGTTTGAAGATGCTATAAAATTATTGAATGATGCGTATATAAAACCTAAAAACGAAATATTCTCTCGTCATGTACTTTCCACAAGAAAACAACTGACAGGTGAATCGATAGCTGAATATATACAAATGTTAAAAAATTTAGCTCATGAATGTACCTTCAAAAGTGTTACAGCAGAAGAATATAGACAAGAATATATACGAGATGCCTTTATATCGGGGATAGGTTCAAAACAGATTCGTCAACGACTTTTAGAGAACAAAACTCTATCATTAGATGATGCTGTGAAGCAGGCCGTAACACTTGAATCCGCTGAGAAAGATAATAATGCAATTACCGAAAGCTCAGTTTTAAAGACTCAAATCAATGCTGTCAGTGAAATACCTTATTCAACATCGTCGAATGAGAATTTAGCCATTGCTACGCGACGGAAAAGGCGGTGTTTTTTCTGTGGATCGGAGAGTATTCACCAGCGAGTAAAGTGTCCAGCTTATAATGTCAATTGTCAATTATGCTCCAGAAAAGGCCACTTTGCTAATGTTTGTCGCTCTGCTAAGCAAAATACAAGTTTTTCGAACGCAATAATACACCAGGATAGTCACATAGAAGAAACAAATGACGGCACTGCATGTATTTCGGCTGCATTTCCGGGTAATCTGATAAAAGCAACAATTCCAGTCACAATAAATGATCTCCGAGCTGATGCTCTTATTGATACCGGAAGTTCATGTAGTTTTATCAACGCAGAGCTTGTAAAATCTATGAATATTAAAATGAAAAGAGTAACCCAAGCAGTATCATTCGCATCATTGAATCAGATGTCATACGTTAACGGACTTTGTCATGCTACAATAAAATTGAATGAACATAGTTACACGCGCCATCCATTGCTTATAATAAATAACCTATGTGCAGATGTTATTATTGGGCATGATATTTTAAAACATCACAGATCTTTAGAATTCAAATTTGATGGAGACAGAGAACCACTTCAAATATGCAATGTAATGCAGGCTTCAGTACCTCCAGCTACTATATTCTCTAACCTTTCGTCCGAATTAATTCCTGTTGCAATTAAATCGAAAACTTTTTCTGAAAATGACCAAAATTTTATTAAAGATGAAATTGAAAAATTGCTGAAAGATGGAGTTATTGAACCAAGCGTATCACCATGGAGAGCTCAAGTTCTAGTAACGGGTGGAACTACACATCGTAGGAGAATGGTGGTAGATTATTCCCGAACCATAAATCGTTATACTGAATTAGATGCCTTTCCTTTACCAAAAATTGATTCAATAATATCTAAAGTGTCAAGATATAACTATTTTAGTCAAATTGATTTAAAATCTGCTTACCACCAAGTTCCAATATTAGAGAAAGAACGACCATTTACAGCGTTTGAAGCTTGCAGGAACTTATATCAATTTACTCGCATTCCGTTTGGCGTCACTAATGGAGTAGCAGCCTTTCAACGAACTTTAGAGTACGTCATACAAAAAGAGAAGCTAAAGGGGACGTATGCTTATTTAGATGACGTTACAGTTTGTGGGAAAACAAAAGAAGATCATGATGAGAACTTATCAAAATTCATGGAAGCGGTTGCTAAATATAATCTAACTCTTAATAAAGATAAGTGTACTTTTGCAAGTGAAACTATTAATCTATTAGGATATACAATTAGTAATAACATAATTACACCAGACAAAAGTCGTCTAAAGCCATTAATGGATTTACCTTTACCTAATAATACTGCTTCCTTAAAGAGAGCACTTGGAATGTTTGCTCATTACTCAAAATGGGTGCCTAACTTTTCAGCTAAAATTCAACCACTCGTACGAGCAAAATTACCACTCAATACGGAGCTAAGTGACAGTTTTCAACAACTTAAAAGAGATATCGCTAAGGCAGCATTGATAAGTATAAACGAAACTGATCTCTTAACGATAGAAACCGATGCATCAGAATACGCTATTGCTGGAACCTTGTCTCAAAATGAAAGGCCAGTGGCATTTTTTTCACGATCATTAAATGACGCCGAGAAAAAGCATTCTTCTATTGAAAAAGAAGCCTATGCTATCGTTGAGTCTTTACGAAAATGGCGTCATTTTCTAGTTGGCAGACATTTTTTACTAGTGACAGATCAAAGATCAGTATCTTTTATGTTAAATCAGAGACATAACAGCAAGATCAAAAATGAGAAAATTGAAAGATGGCGGCTAGAATTGTCTTGCTTTAAGTATGATATAGTATATCGGCCGGGCAAAGAAAACGTTTCCGCCGATACATTGTCTAGAGTTTGCGCTAGCCTTAGTACTAACAAGTTATATGACTTACATAAATTATTGTGCCATCCAGGTGTGGTAAGAATGTGGCATTGGATTAGAACAAAGAATTTACCATACTCGATTAATGACGTAAAATCTATTACGGCGTCATGTCCTATATGTGCAGAAATTAAGCCGCGATATAATAATGCACATAGTCATTTAATTAAAGCTACAGAGCCTTTTCAACGTCTCAGTATTGATTTTAAGGGTCCTTTGCCCACGATTTCTCGTAACAAATATATACTCACGATAATTGACGAATATTCAAGATTTCCGTTTGCCTATCCATGTCCTGATTTATCTTCACAATCTGTCATTAAATGTCTTAAAGATTTATTCCTTACTTTTGGAGCACCCGCTTATATTCATTCAGATAGAGGAACGGCCTTTGCATCGGATGAAATGAAACAATTTCTAACAACCTATGGTGTTGCCTCAAGCCGTACTACTCCATACAATCCTCAGGGAAACGGACAGGTGGAACGCTTGAATGGGACGCTTTGGAAAACTATTCAACTCAGTCTTAAGTCAAATGGTTTAGATAGTTCATGTTGGGAACAAGTATTAAACGTCGCCTTGCATTCTATACGATCACTCCTGTGCACAGCTACCAATGAAACACCACATGAGCGTCTATTTCGCCATACACGTCGATCACCGACAGGGGATACTATACCTTCATGGTTATTGATTCCCGGTCCAGTACTAATGAAAAAGAACGTTAGAACATCAAAATTTGATCCTGCCGTAGAAGAAGTAGAATTACTTCATGGAAATCCTCATTATTCACATGTTCGCTTGTCTGATGGACGTGAAACCACGGTTTCAAATAGACAATTAGCCCAACTACCGACAGAGGACTACGATTCTGATGAGGAAGTCGATGCTGCAGATGTACCTGTTGTTACAGGTGATATATCAGATAGTTTTCCTAGAGAGACTGACGCTACTGCCTCTCCATCTGGCACTCAAGAAGAAGGTACCGAGGTTTTGCGTCGGTCGTCACGAGATAAGAAGATGCCTGAATATCTTAAGGATTTTGTTAGAAACTAAATAACATGGGAGGGGTGAATGTAGTATTAATATGTTGTCTATTGTTCATTTGACTTTGTCAATATGAATTCAGTATATGTCTAATGTAACTAATATTTTTATGTTGATTAAAGCCAATATTCATACGATCACAATGTAATATGGATTATTTAAATTTAAGATTTTTGAGTTGAAGTCACTCTAGGGCTGGCGTGGCTAGGTCTGCATCAGACAATGTGACATACCTCCGTTAGAGAATATTTTTATTGTGAACCTACATTATGTGTAGTAAATTGTTTATTTAATCAATATGTTGTTTTACTTAGTTGATATCAGTCAATATCATTATTACAACACTAATATTACAGCATCTTTGAGACGGCGCGGTGACGCCATGGCGCTGTTAAAGTATTGGGCCACGGTAGAGGCTCTCCAAAGCAGAGCCGAAAGAAGACAAACGATGAGCAAGGGCATTACCTTCTTTTTCTCTAAATGCTTCGTCGGATTATTGGACCCTCATAACTTGTTTGGATTACATCAAATTTTCGGAATGTAATCGCAATTAAAATATATAAAGTATCCATATACAGTATCAATTATATAGCTATTATACTTTTGATTTATTGATATCAAAATAAACCCCTATTTCAGTATTCATACACTCACCCTGCAGCGTAGAAATCTGAAATTTGTTATGTATATTAGTAAAATATGCATCACTATGAAAATAAGTGTATAAATGGCGACATTAAATTGTTTAGGACCCACCAGATAAAGTATACCTCTCTTTAAAGAATATGACATTTTGCTTTTGTGGAAACGAGAATAACTATGTTTGTAAGTTTCGCTTAAATGTATACTCTCTATCTTGTAGATATTTCATTTTGTAGATCAACAATATTTCTTCTTTTTTATTAATGGCTTATCTGCGCATTTAGCACATTTTTTCTTGATATGAACAACCAGGTCAGCACGCCAGGTTACCACAATAAGTGAAATTATCGCAATTGATTTTCAACTCTACCGACAATGTATTAAAGTTTAAAATCAATTCATGAAACTTGACTCTGTACCGACAATGTATTAAAGTTTAAAATCAATTCAAGAAACTTGAAAACTGTAGGTCATTGATTTATACAACAGTAAACATTGGATCATATTATGTCTATGCAGTATACAAAACCTAAGAGTGTGAACAAAACAAATGTGAATGTATTGTTGATCGAAGATGTGAATATTGTTATTTTAAACATATTTAAGGTGATCATCGCCATTTTTCATTCATTACATTTTCTTTTTACATGAAGAAATTATTTTATTTACTTGACATTGGCAGAATTGTGCGAAATGTGCAGATAAGCCATTAATAAAAGAAAAAGAATAAGAACATACTTTACTCTTTGTTTTCAACACTGCGGCTGTCAAATTCCTGTCAAAGGTGAAAGCTATGTATACCAAAGAAAATTTAAACCATATTTATTTTTAACACTGATAATATTTACACACATTTGTTGTGCTTTAAAGCTAATATATAGCACAATTATTCAATGTAATATTATTGTCATGATAGAAGATGCTATATATTACTGCTCCCTGCTGATATGCATCAGCCTCGGAACATCCTATAAGAAAATCGACGATCCTCTAATGAAACGTAATTATGGCGCCGGCCTCGGCTTACTGGTGGCATGCTTAGTTTGCGGCAGTTATATTTATCATTCGGTGCTCATGGTGTGGGGTAACATTGTTATAATCAAATGCTGCGATAAACGGTGAGACTCTGAGTATCAATTCTTTTAGAAAAACCGTCAACAGGACGTCTCTTTATAAAAACTGGCCAAATGCGCACAAAGTCCCGTACCATTATCCATTTAAAAAAGTAAACAAAATCACGTTTATTGTTTTTTTTTATAATTGTTCGAAGTTTTCGAGTTAGATACAATTAGTTGACTAACAGCCAATTGCACAAGCGTCAAATAAATAGTCATTAGTTTAAAGCGATATTACCCATACAAATTAGACATTCACTAGAGCTTAAAGGCGTCTTTAAACGTTAATGGACGTTTGTGCAACTGACCTTATTACTCGGAAACTTTTAAAGATAGGTAGTACTGCCGTAATGTTTGAATTTTTAGCAACGAACCGTTTAGTTGGTAGAGAGGAGGGACACTTGACTAACGAAAATTAGCTCTTTAAAACTTAACAAGTCACAAATGATTTACTAAATCGAAAAACAGCCTTCTCGCAACCCATGTTTTTGAAAACCTATCCAACGATGATGCGAAAAAATATCTTCCCCACTACATTTATTTATTTATTAACAACAACATTTACATCGATCATTACAGCTTATAGCCAATGCCCTTAAATATTATTTTTCAAAATTTTATTTTACCACTTTATCGGCGTATACTCATGGAAAATTACAATTTTCTAGTACCATAGTTTTTGAGTTAAACCGCGGATACAGCTTATAGCCAATGCTCTTAAATAATTTTTTCAAAATTTTATTTTACCACTTTATCGGCGTATACTCATGCAAAATTACAACTTTCTAGTACCATAGTTTTTGAGTTAAACCGCGGATGGACATGAACTGACATGGCGAAACTATAAGGGTTCCTTGTTTACTAGGAGCCCTAAAAACTGACTTTTTAATTATTATAATTTAAAAGTCAGTTTTTTTGTATATTATAATTTTAATGTGATGTTGTGTGTATGGGAAGTGTCCGAGTTTATCCGAACATCTTTGACTTTTTAGGCGGCTTTTGAATGGAATGAAACTATTAACGGGGCCAATGCGGGGCTCTTATCATGTACAGTCGACAGCACGTCAGACTCAATTGCTGAAATTTGACAATGGGGTAACCTGACATGCAGCCGTGTGTACCTTATACTTACCCGAGTCCCCGATGATATACTTCCATGATCACGGAACTTGCGGCAACGGCGAAAATTGGGGCTAAACAAAGACTATACATAAACGTATTGGGATGAAACGTATACCTTATACCTACAACTTCACACACATTATATTTTTAGTTATTTCCAGATACGTCCATCAAGTCAGCATGTTGTATACATGGACTTATTTACTATATTTACATTGTAATATGATTCCTGTATATGCGATGTGGATGCACCAGACAATGGCTTTACGTTTAGTAGGACTGGCATTCGAAGTTAATTCATCAGCAAAAGGCAGCAATAGTGCTATGCACTCAATCAGATTTTCAGATGATATCAATGTACTTACTTCTGTACCAAATGTGATGGAAATAATCTCCTACTCTTACTTTTTCATAGGATTACACAGAGGTATGTATTCAAATTGAAACCTACACAGTATGATTAAATATGAAGCGTTCCACAGAAATACAAGACTAGGTAAATTGTCTCATCACCACCAGCCCTTTTACGTCCCCACTGCAGGGGCTCAGGCCTTCCTTATGGATGGTTAAGGAGGATGGGCCATGACCCTCCACGCTGGCCCAATGCGGATTGGAGGGTATTGACGACTGCAAAAATGCAGCCGGGACCAACGGCTTAACGTGCCTTCCGAAGCACGGAGTAGCTCGAGATAATAATTTTTTGATCACCCATCCCGTGACCGACCCTTGCGAAAGTTGCTTAACGACTACGATCGCGGCGCTTATCCACTACGCCACCGAGCTAAATGGTAAATTGTCTAATGTTTCTCAATCACGAGACCAAGAAACGTTATAAAACTTTAGCTCGACCCGTCGAAAGATTCCAGTTAGCATTCAATTCTTCCGTTTTTCTTTCGCCATTTCTCAATAAAGCATTTGTCACTTTGACAATTCCAATTAGCGACATCGTTCATTCAATATCTTTCAAATAAAAACTACGCTCGCAATCATTCGAGTTCCATCTTACAGTGCCGAAAAAGAGGATTTTTCAAGCATTTTTCATTAAGAATATTTTTTATTATAGCAAGTTGATCAAATATAATAAATTTGATGACATTTTGCATTCATTCAAAATCCCAAAGAGGGATTTTCTATGTGCAACGGGCATATATATTTTTTATATAAGTAGGTATGTTCATCGGTTTCTTCATGAATTGTGAACCAATTTCTATCAAACTAGCTGTTTTCCCGCGACTTTACTTGCGGAAATTATAGCATATGTCCCCCTTGTGTTATGTAGCTTCCCGTAAATGAAAAAAAAATTATATTGTGTAGATATTTTTTAAATGTTTTTATTTTAAATATAATACAAATTTGAATTATATTTTTTACTATGAATATATTCATAGTTGAATATTAAAAATAAAGTTAATTTAAAAATTTCCCGCGAAAACGCCACTTCTGTCATGGCATCGATATGACGTCACGGCACTCTGAAACTAATATCGTTTTATATAAGCATAAGGTAATGAGTAAGAAGGGCGTGACTTGACAACGAGCATTAAATATTTGATTTTTCATAATTATTTAGAGCAATATTATGTATATAATAAGCATAAATGTGTGATTATGATTTACCAGAAAAAAAAGTATTTATTTCGTTTACCGTCTATACCCGTATCCGTCCAATAGTTTCGGAGCCTATCCAATATAAACAAACAAGGAATCAAATCTTTCCTCTATAATATGAGCATTGATTAATAAAAAATATCAATATCACTAAAAAGAAAGAAATATATATATATATTTTAATATAGAAATGTTCAAACTATAAAAAAGGGATACTAATCTCAAAAGTTACTTATGAAACTGCTATTGAAGTCGGGCTCCTAACGTTTAATTAATAACCTTTAGTACTAGCTTGAATAAGTCGCTTCTGAGATAAGTATTATTTAAATTTTCATTTTTCATATAGGTTCCCTGCTTCCGAAATTTTCATTCGTTATATTACAAGCAGCACTTAGAAACACTCTGACTAAATAAAAATAATGAAATGGTAAACCGAATAATTCGCTTCGGCATGAATGGGCCGGCTCGACCGGAGTGATACCACGGCCTCACAGCAAACCGACGTGAAGCAACGCTTGCGTTGTGTTTCGTCGTGTGAGTGAGGGTACCGGAGGCCCAACCCCTCCCTATTCTCGTCCCTCTACCCCTCAACGCAATGATCATATTCGTTCTTCAAAGGCCGGCAGCGCGCTTGTAGCCCCTCTGGTGTTGCAGGTGTCCATGGGCGACGGTAATCACTTACCATCGGTAAGACGGTAATCGTCTGCTCGTCTGCCCGCTATAACATAAAAAAAAAACTTAAACCTAACACTATTCAGTATTCGGTTAACTGATGAACCACTATTCGGGGCATCCCTAGTAAAAATACAATTATTATTTCTTTGTCGACCGTAGCAGTTGATGTATAGGTACCTATAACGTAATAGTCGTCAACGAACTCGACGAGAACGGCTAGTTTATATCTAAGATATTTATATTAAAAGTTGTTTATTAAGCTATTGCCTCGTTATTATTTGTCGTCATAAATTAATCAGCTTAAAGTAATATAAAAATAGAACGGGTCCCACTAAAGATGTTGCTGCTATTTCATTTCCTTCGAAATTTTACGTTACTACTATTTTTACACTAAAAGTCAACCCTAGCTTTTACAATATATTTTTCAAACAGGGCCATATTACAGATGGTATATTTACCACGACCACCTGTCCTCATCATTTGCAACGTTAGCAGATTGTAGGATTATCACATTGCATAAACTGATGAAGGCTGCCGCGTTTCTTGTGTTATATGGACTGTTGAGAATGAAATTTCCACCGCAGGTAGATATACATGCTAATGATTTTGTAATCTTGTACTTCCAATATATTTTTGCCGTCTCACAGCAAAACGCGGTAGGAGCAGTTTCAGAATTTAAGCATAATATGGCTTTAATAAAATAAAAAAAATAATTATTATTTTGCAAATATACCTACTTGTTGACAATTAATGAGCATAAATCATATAAAGGAAACTTTTATCTTATTTTCATCAAAATGCTGAATTATTAACTACAGCATTTTACTATCCGATGGCAGATTTGTAACTGAATGTTGAAAAGAAAACGCATTTGATTATTATAAAAAAAACTTTAAGGAGATTCAATTTCGGGTGACGAAATTTTTTAATACTTCGGTTCGGATTAAACGTGTGAGTAATTTTTCTCATTCTGCCAGTAGCACCATTAAGGTTTAATGACTACTTTAAGCTCTAATGAATGTTCTAAATTTCAAATTTGTATTGATAATATCGCTTTAAAGTAATGATGATATTTGTGCAACTGGGTGTTAGTCTTTTGATCGAACAAAGAAAGTTGATAAAACATGATAAGAGAACGATAATGTTGATGGAATCAACTTATAAGAACTTGGCGCTTTTGAATGGCTTCACTACGGATCTTGCAATGCAATAGTTTAAATTTCAGAATGATAAACATGTACAAGCCGTGACACGTACATAAGTTGAGCCAAAATGACGATTGCGCATTTTTAGTGTGGCAGACGCAAAGCGTAACCGTAGTAACGCAGTATTGTTCATGACAATTACTGCGCGGAAAATCGCCATTTTGGTTCAATTTAAGTTTAGACGTTTTGTATACGTATACCTATACTTTTATTATAAAAGCAGTCAAGGTCATTTGTTGCAGATATATTTTGAAGACGATTTTTACAAAGAACATGGCACTGATTATCGTTACTTATACAACGTGCCGCAAATGCTGATGTTCTTCTTGCATTATCAAATGATGATGATGCTGTGTACTAGTGTTTGTACGGAAGCAGGATTTGGAGTCTACCCAGCAAAATGCGAACCACTGCCGGGATACGGGCCGTCAACGAAAATAAGTGTTATGAAAATGGCGTGAGTAGTTTTCTCATACAGAAAATACGGAATCTAGTTAAAAAGGTTATAAAAATTTACGCAATTAAATATTACGTTGTTGCAGCCTAGGTAACCATAAAATTGCTCTAGAGCAAGAATACAATTTTGCTATGCTCAAGTGTTTTGACAACACTAAATTGATTAAAGGCCCCATGATGAAGGACACTTTAAGGGGCTGGGATATGCCAACCAGATATTGGTTTTGGTCTAACATATATAAAAACTTAATAAAAGCAAATAAAGAAGTGAGGTGCGGAGGTATATTCGCTATAAATTATCTAAAATATGTATATTTTTAAAGAAATAGTTTTTTTTATTAGAGACTATATTTTTAATGAGAAAGAACCGTCAACTTTCCATATTAACCTCTGCTGATAGTGGATTTTATACAGTTATACTTACAAGTTTATATTATAAAAGCTACTAGCTAATAAAATTTTACGAAAATAGGACAACACGTGGCTTGAGACAGTGCTGCCTAACACCTATTGCTTTTTAAAGTCCCAATGATCAAACTATAATTCAATTACTTTATGAATACAATTCAATAGGTGCTTCTTATTAATTTTTAAAATTCGAAAATAGTGAAGATATTAAGTTATTTTATGAACTTTTGTCTATCTACAACAATCAGGAACGCCGCCGGCCGCCCAATGGCGTGATTGAGGAAATTTGACAAGTAAAATTTTCTGTAATCAATTTTCAACTTAACCGACAACGGACAAAGGCTAACAACCTGTAGGAGAAATTCCGCATTTCATAATAACCTGCGTGCTGTCGACTGTACGAGTTGCGTTATATAAAAATGTCTTTGTCTAAGTTAATATTATCCAACACTTGAACAGGAGCGCATGTTCATTCTTCGCATGGACGGTTTGGTGCGGGCCAACATTGCGTACAATCATCGCCTCGGCGACTCTTTGGGTCTATATTCATCTGGAAGCTGAATACAGAACCGTTTATAACACTACTGGTCAGGTAAGATATCTTAATATAATGTGTTGCGATTTCTGGTCGTACACATTAGTCGTTAATTACAGTATTACATACAGTGTTTTATCATTTTTACTAAAACTGTAATTTACATTGGAATGACGCAAACAGAGCTAGTATAACTATGCTTATAATTGTTTTATTAGTAAAGATCATCATCAGCCTATTAATATTATCACTACTAGGGCACAGACCTTCCCTTTGCATGGAATCATACCGAATAAGGCGAATGAGCCATGATCTATCACGCGCGCTCTACGTCTGCAGATTCAATTGGGATCAACAGTTTAACGTGCCTTCAGAAGCATGAAGAGGCTCGTGATAATTTTTTGGTGACCCATCCTATGATCGGCCATTGCCATTGCGTAACTTCCGCATTTCAGGCACCCATCGAGGTCCTCAGTATTATATAATCGTTATCAATTTAAGTATCTTATATGATGCCAGAAACATTCTTAAGGCAATTTGTTTGTTAATGAAATATTTTCTCCATATGATGGAATGTCTTTCACGAGTGTAGAAGGTAGCGTAACAGTATGGTGGCAAGACGGTTCAAACTGTCACCATGAGCCCTCGATGGAAGAGACCCGGGCTGTGTAAGAATCCGTAACCGAGTGGTTTACACGCCGGTTTGAAGGTGTCGCCATCTCTGAGGTCCGTTCGATTCCCGGTCCGGTCATTATAGAAACTGAACTTTTCTATATTATATAATATTATTTATATATTATATGATTTAAAATTTGCCATGGGCCCCACACGATCTTGTTACACAACTGCTCAAGTAGCGATGATATTAACATTGAATGTGCCTAATGCTGTGGGTATATTTTAATCACCCCGCGTCGTATATCAAGTATAGGAGTAATTATATTAGGCCCTCTATTGCGTATCGTCCGCATGTGTGAAACCAAGATCTAACCTACCCCATGTCCATGACGCCACGCGCCGCGGAAGTAAGTGGCTCAAGTCTTGTCTGGAGAGATAGCACCGTAGTCACATATCTAAATACTAATTTCGAGATCCTCATTTAGGAATCACTGTAAGAAATATAAAGGACTTAGAACTTACAATCTTTTTTTTAGATGAAGTCAGCCTGGGATATCGGGTTTTCAATGATGCGCCTGTTTTGTCTCGTCTATCTGACTCCCTGTTTCACTATCAGCGATACGGAAACTATGTTTAGATATTATAATTCTATGTTTTGGATGTTCCATTTTATTCTGTTAATATTAATAGTAGGCGTCATAGTAGCTAACAAGACTAAAGAGACGTCAAGGTTAAACAGTTTTTTCTAAGTAACACAATTTTGTTAATGTGTAATTTTTTGTGAAAACCGCAAATGTATGTTTTTTTTTTAATAATTTTTAAGTTTGTTATAATTTTGTGTTGCTTCTTTTTATTCATACAATTAAAAACAATTTCTAACCAAAAACATTTATTTTGGTAAGTACATACCTATAATAATACGTATAAAACAGTAACATTTTTTATTGAATTACAGTAGATATAACAAGCGCACTAACATTTATTGCAAAGTCTTTGGATTTACGCCAATAACATCTATTTTCTAAGTTACAACTAAGGACGTCAAAAATATGCAATCTTCAATCATTGGACATATTCACGACTGGACAGATTCGTAACTGCGCAATAGCTTGAAGTTCGTTTTTATAGGAATTTATTTGATTTCCTCTATTTTTTTATAGAATTAACTTAATTAATGACATTAAATTAATATAGATAAGAAAGTAAGATTGTATGTCAACTGGTGTATAATGGGCGGCACGTTAGTTGAACCAAAATGACATTTAAGCAGAGAATCGCCATTTTTACGCGTACCCATAGCAACTTAGTCTAGTTGATGAACTATACTACGTTGCCATGGTTACGCGCTGTGACTTCACTAATGTAACCTGCATTGATATCCGAAAATATGTAACTGCGAGTAGTTCAGTTTATGTACTTAGATCAGTCAAAATTTGAGTATTTTTAAACATTTTTTGAAATAATCCTCCAATTGGGAATATGTCCAGATATTCAATCTTAAATGCCTTTATGAAATCCATCAACTTTTTTAGCTGTCAATACGATTTCAATTTGTGATAGATATTACACAACATGCCTTTTTACCATTACAGTTTGGTTCTCTGACATAGGCACCTTAAAGGAACTACATACTTGTACTTAATACAAAATAAGGTTCTGTATCACAGACTAACTTATAAATAGTTTGGAAGACATTATTGATCTTATTAATATTGCCACAATAAAATAGCCAAATTAAATAGCGGACATTCCAATTCCTAATGAGAATTCGCTATCTATAATTGCCAGGTTTATAAAGTTACATTTTAGTGTGTTCTTATAGACAAAAATCTATTGCCCTGAGGAGAAACGAACTTTGGACTTAACTACTCATTTGCTATAGGGGCGTCGGTTTTTAGACAATATTGTACTTATTCATACAACATTCCAAATTTATTTATATATTCGTCACTAACATAAACATGACATTTAGCATTCATTTAAAGAATTCATAATCACAAATTTAGAATCATCGACTGTTATAAACGAGAATATACATATTTTGAATATATATTCCCTGATTTTTTTCTATTTCTTTAAACTCATTTTATTTAAAGTCATTATCATGATACGTTCGTGTGTAAGCTTAAGTTATTTTCCTTTATAAAAATCTGTCCAAAATTTTGTTTTTGTATGAACGATATTTGGAACTTAATATAACGCCACGAAACTATCTATATTTGCAAGTTGCAAATAAATTTTTAAATCGGAATGTATAATTTTCCAAAAAAAAAAGAAAAATCATCACAACTGCACATGCCAAAATATTTCAAATATTATCTATACATACTTGTTTTTCAATATTTAAGTTTATACAATACACACAACTTACACCGAAACATTCGTAAATGTCAAAAATTATATAATACACTAGGAAATAAATGAAAAGGTAGAAACAATTTTGTTGCAGCTTGACTTATCTATTTTCGATTCAAAAAATGATGATGCCCAGTTAGATATGTCTATGTTAAGTTTACGTTATAAAAAAGAAAATACGTTTTATATTTGTCCACAATTATGGTTACCCTAATTGATAATAAAGTGTCAACAAGTATTTTTCCTTACGAAAATTGAAAATCTAAAAAAATTGTGAGTTATTGCAATAAAAATTTCATGTGTTTAGGACATTTTTCATGATCACTCGAGTCAAGTGAGAATGCACCAGATATTATTTGCGCGGCTATTCCACTTCTGCGTTCCACCTTTTGTATGCAGACTGCATTGTAATAATGACATTTATAATACACGGCATGTAAGTTGAAGTTGATCCAAAATGGCGATTTTCCACGCAAGTAAACTCATGGACGAGTTGTTCTGTTTATGTGCCGCGATATATCTTATAAAAGATCCTACTACTCAAGTTGATATTCGTTAGATAAATTGCTAAACAGGTCAGGAATTATGATTTATGAGAACTAAGTCTGGACAAAAGGTGGATAATACCTACCGCATTGTATCAGTATACAATGCGGTAGGTGTTATTATTCAGTTTTTATGTTTCTTAATTGAGAATAATATTCACCAAAATTATAAAGTAATGGGATTTTAATCGGTTTTAACGGAGGAAATGAATATTAGCATTTTTTTATTATTTTACCAGTCATATATAAAAATTGAGAACATACTATTGCATCTTAATCATCACCTGGGGGCCAATTCTACTAAATAAATTTTGTTTAAATCGAATCGAAAACGGATCGAAAGCGAACGAAATTACAGTTTTTAACGGATTTTCTATTCTACTAAGTGACATACGATACAATTCCAGCTAAAATAGAACTGTAATTTGATTGGATTTAAACAAAATTTATTTAGTAGAATTGGCCCCCTGGCCTCTATCAAAGTAATCTAAAATAAGTTTCAGCAACCGTGAAAAGTGTAGATTAAAACTAAATCACAATATTTGAGAACAGTTCAATTATTAACTCATTTCCTATTAAAATAAAGCTGAAATAGTTTAATCATTGGAGATGATCTATCAATACATATTCATTCCAACATCATATTAAACAAACCTTTTATTCGTGAAATATTGTGAAGTCTCGTTATATTATAAAATATTGCATGTGTGTGTAAGATTAGATTTTAATAATTCTAGTAATTTATAAAATGACCACTACAAATTTATGTATATAACTTTTTCAACTACACTCTTGTTCTACAACTACTTGTTTGTTATTAAAATGTTATAACACATAAAAAAACAAATATATATATATATATATATATATATATATATATATATATATATATATATATATATATATATATATATATAATAATATTTATGAACAAATAAACAATGTGCACTTAATTATTCACCTACAATTTTACTATAATAGGGATGATGACTAATTTTTGTTTGTTTGTCCGTCAGGCAGTGTTAAAAATTATTAGACACGTTTTTTTTTATTTTTTTCATAATCATAAAATTACGGCGTTACATGGAGTTGCAATTTCACATGACGTCACGTTATGGTACGTTTTCTTCTCAACTGTGACGTAGCGAGCCCTCACTCCTCAACTTTAATGCCTGTTATCTAAGCTATATTTCTTGTTAAATTGAAGTAAAAAAATACGTATCTAATATTTTTCTATTATCTGACTGACGGACTAAATATAATTGCATTTTTTTTACCCAGTCATCATCCCTATTCCTATCTTTAATATTGTTCAGCGATGTCTGATCGATAATGATCAATACTGAATATCTTTATAAAAATTTCATTCTTGTCAATATATCTTGTCCAAATATTTTAATAAGCGTTAATTCATAATATTTTGAATAAGTCAATTAAATTTGTGTATTTAATCATAATAATAATAAATATTATTGTTTTAAGGTATACATGATTGTATGTACCTTGAGGTTATTATTTGTGACTAAATATTTATAAAGGGTTAACTTTGACTGCATTAATTTCGATGATAGGATCCTCGATGGTGGACTTATTTTGGATGAGTCTCAGTTCAATTAGTGCTGGCGGTATTTTTCCAGTCGGCTGTATCGCTGTTAAAAAAAAATATTATTTAGTATGATGAAACTGTAATAGTGACTTCACACCATAATTGGTCGTTTGTGTGTGTGTGTGTGTGTGTGTGTGTGTGTATGTGTGTGTGTGATTGACAGATCAAATATCAAGGCGTCTTAGTAAGACCCGGACAGTTGATCTGTCAGTCTGATAATTAATTTAGTACCTTGTTCTGATTAACTACGCACGTGAAATTGACATAATTGTGCATATGACAGATTAATCAGGGCTTACTGATACGCAATAGAGCCGCAGGACTAAGGCTTGACAAGTTTTCAGTAGAGACAAAAACTTAAATATCTCATGAGAACGAATTTATATATATATAACATTAGACGAAAAAAAAAAAATTTTGGGACACTTGTTTGGTCTTCTAAATTTATTTAATTAAAGTTTAAAGTAACTCATTTTGGTGAATGCATTAAGGTTTAATATTTGAATATTCTTAGATTTATAGCTTTTATTAATATTACATGTCTATGTCTAGTGGGTTCAAAACATATTGTTATTAACATGTAGGTACACAATCATAGCATCATCTTTTAGTCAATTAATAAAACACAGATGCATAAGAACTTGAAAAATATTTTTTGTTTAAAATATTTTGTTAAAGCTCTTGGATCAGAAGTTGTTGTTTATTATTATGTTAGCTTTTTAATTTTGTTTATAAAGGTATAAGGCTCTGTCTTACCTCTGGCTTTTTTAAATGTATCCAAAACAATACTTTGCAAGGTAGCTATAGTTTTCTCAAGTGTCAGTTTCACATCATTATTAGTCTTATGTGACCACGCAAGGAAAAGAGATGCAAATAGATCTCCCGTCCCTGTAAATGTGGCGTCTTGCTTCAGCATTTCTATCTTATAACATGACCCACCTGAATATCATTCATAATGTATTAGATTAACTTTAACATTTACTACTTATAATTTGGTTTCACATTCAAGGAAATGATATCTACATTAGTAACAAGTAGATAAGATAATACATATTTAAAAATAGGAGCTTATTTGTCTTAAACTTCAATCTTGAAATATGTATTTTGAATAGTTATAATCTGTTCTCCATTATATTCTAAACATATATAAGCGATAACATTTTTTTTATATCAATGAGAAACTTAATCTTACACATTTACAATTATGTATATATCATTTTCAAAGCAAGGGGTTTCTATATCTTAAAGTTGGAAATAGTACTGACAAGTTTCAGTACAGCCAGGATTTAACTAGCATAATTCTGCCATGTTGAGGCAGATGTTTCGACTGTTAGATTCGTCAAAGCTGTTAGTCTTACAGCCATTTGCACAAAGTTCCATTAAAATTTTCATTAGTTTAAAGTGACATTACCTAGACAAATCTGACATTCATTAGAGCTTAAAGACGTCATTAAACCTTAATAAATGTTTCTGCAACTGACTGTTAATGCTAATTGCTAATTTGAGAAAACATAAATTACTATATTTGATCAATTTAACTTTCACAATGCTATACTGGAGAAATGATGGGATGGGTTGGGATCCCATGCAGAGTACCAGAGTTTATAAGAATTTTTCATTAAGAAAATTATTTGTTTTTCATAGTAAAGTAGCACTACACTCTTATATTAAAATTTAAGATTGTAGTGCTACTTTCATTCATCTGTTTTTATCTTTTAGAAAAATATCAAAAATATAATTAGAACATTGTAAATGCACACTTTATTAAATATAATAAAGTGCTACAGTAGCATGACTAAAATACCTATTGTAAAGGTAGTCTACAAAGTTTTAATTCATTTCAAAATGTCAAATTATTCTTTTTGTCATACTCAATAAAACTTATCATACCTTTAGTACTAGCAATCGCAATAATAGCATCATCAACTCCTAAATCTGTGCTTGATAATACCACTGTCTTTACACCCTTATTATGAAGAGCTTCAATAGCCTTTAGAGCTCCATTCAGATCAGTAATTTTTAAACCAGATAGCAGTTCGGCTTCAAATTGATTGGGTGTTAAAATGTCTGCTAATGGAACTACTATATCTCTATATACAGGCAATATCTCTTCAGGAACATACATTTGCCCATTATCTCCCATTACTGGATCACATACTGAAATTATTTATAAAAAACTTAAGGGACAAAAAAGAGAGAACTAATTTGCTACTATGTTGCATAACTTCATAAAAGTTATGTAACATACTATGAAATGAGGTCAGTAGTGACTGAAATAACCTTGCAATAGTTTTTACAGTTACTTTGCATGAATCAGATTATTGGTATAAATAGAAGGAAAATTGACGAATATAGATTTCAATATACAAGAGACAGTAAAATATCTTATCAACTGTTGGTGATAGGATATTTAACTGTAGACCAAATACAAGCTTTACAAGTATTATAATACAACAATCTTGAAACAATCAATTATAAAATTTTAGGAAACACATGAGAATAGACTATCTGAGTTATCTTTCTCTAAATGTGTATTTAATTTATCTCTTATCTAAAATTTGTTTAGGTAATAAATTGTAACAGTATATGTTTATTTGCTGAACAAGGTTACAGAAATAAAATATTTGCACACAAGATAACCATGCTGATAACAATGGATTTTTAATTTTCCTTAGGTCTCTAATAAAAACTTACCATAAACAAGAGCTGGATTCTTTTTCCTTAACTTTTTTATAATTTCTGCTATCTGTTTTAATGAGTCTGGAGATCTTGAATAACCAGTTAGAAAATGAGTGTAATAATCCACCTCATTTAGTATTAAACCTTGCATTAGTTCTTCAAGTTCTTCATTTTTTAATACATTGCCTTTAATATGTTTGTATGCGGTGTGTGTTGAGAACTGAACGGTGTTTATAGAATCAACTTCAAAGCCAAGGACCTGACATTCAAAATTTTATCATCAATTATATTATATTATCAACTTTGCATTCAAAATGTTATATTGATATTTTTCTTAATGATACAAGTTTATGAATCAAAAGTTATATTGTGATCTTAATATAGCTTTCTTTTACTTACTTGCAAAGGAAATACTGCACTCTTGTTGCCAACGTATCCATGCACGACATGACTTTGGATAGACAGCACTCTTGGAGAAAGTTCACAGAAATTATTCATTATTCTTTATTTTAATTAAATAATTAATATAGGCAAGACAGTGTAAACTGACGCAACTTATCTACGTAATAACAACGCTGTCTTAACTAAATTACAGAAGTTGTTATTAATACCGACAGATAAGAAATAACCATTTGTGTTACTTACGTCCAACATATAAAATTATTACATCTGTAAATAGTTAATTTAATTTGATATTGATAAGATGTTGACGTAAGTTGACATCTGGTTGTCATAGCGTTATCTTTGACTAGAGATAGGCTTTGGGCGAATGTGTCTGATACCTACGAAAAAAGCGTATATGCCTAAACTTCAAATGCAAATTCTTCGATGGCGGATTGTCATAGGGCGTGACCCAAGATATCGATATTTGTATCGACATTGAAGTCATATTAAATAAAAGTTAGTATTTCGTGAAACTGCTACAATACTACTACTTATTAAATAATATAATATAATTTTCATTGTTAGGGGCATGGCTAAACTATTACCTATTACACTTCTATTCATTTCACACTTACGTACCAATCCTATTTATGATTATTATTAATTAAATTGAAAAATTCACGCCAGTATCAAGAAAATAATATTTTTTTAAAAGTGGCGTGAATTTATCAATTATTTATAAATCATTAAGCAATCTTTTGCTCGTATTTTGTTGGACATCTAAAATTTCTTGCGTTCTTTGTTCTTGCGACTCCGTTGCGTCACTATAGTAAATATAACATATGTTACCAGCGTATGATGGCGCTTCCCACGGGTAAAAGATTATTCGTATTCCAAATTTCATCAAAATCCGTTCAGTAGTTTTTACATGAGAGTAACCAACATCCATCCTCACAAACTTTCACATTTATATTATTTAATAATATAATTTTATAATATGATTGTACCTCGATAAATATGTTTCTTTTTCCTCTAATATAGCCAATTTTACATAGTTTTAAGAACTATAGTACCAAAATATATATCTTAAAAGTTTTACAATAATATCAATCGTGTTTTATAATTATTTCCATATATATTGTCAAGTTGACATTTTGCAATTATAATTAAATAGTTTTTTTAACATAAGTTTAATTTTGCATCCACGGGAAGTGTGACTACTGTCCAAGATAACTACCACGGTAACTATAATAAGCTTTTAATGAGTCGATTGACGAATGAATTATTATGCTTTTTTTTGTCTGTTATATATTTTTTATTGTTTTGGTGGAAAGTGACATTTTGGTCCAATGAAGTCATTTTTTATTTTTCAGTACGAAATTAAACAGGGTGCAAAAGCAGCCCTTGCAGTTTCTTACCGGTTCCTTTCTTACAGTTTCTTCTTTTCTCGGTACAAGGTTTCCCGTAATAGATTGCTGAACTATAAGCACAGAGTTTCGACTTTCTTATATGCTTGTAACTAGTAAGCCAACTTGTCTATAAATTTATTCAATAAATTGTTTTGACTGAATAAATTTCGCTTCCTCCTCATTAAGTGAGATACCGTGCGTACTGTGTCACAATTTTAGTTCAGAACATCTTGTTTAGTAGTAAACATAGAAAACTTGAAACACCTACATAATCTTTGTATTATATTATTGGTAAAAGAACATAAAAATACTGTAAACTTTGATGAATAAACAAGAGAAAATAAAGAAAACAAAGTTGGTGATGAATAAGTAACAATTGGCATAACAGTAACATTATTAAAGAAGTAACAATTGGCATTTTATTTAAAAATTTGGTTAGCAAGAAGAAAACAGCCGATTAATCAAGCATACAAATATTTTCTCAGCACTAAAACAGTCTGCAGTTCATGTTCTGTGAACAATCATGATAACGGTCAGCAATTTAAATTCAAAAAGGTAGCGTATTTTATGATGCATCAGCAAAATAAACATCCACGCCGCAAAATAATTATTTGGGTATTAAGATTATACTATTGAACAGCAAAGAAAACCTTTAACTATGCCTTTAATTTGATAAGTGTGCATATTTTAATTTTTATTAAAATTATTTAACTCATTTTATTGTATATTTTACTGGGAGTATATTATGATCAGAATTTTATATTTTAATATTATTATATATTGCATTCTGATTTTTTTCAATTAAAATAGTCGTCATATGACCGCAAGACTAAAAATAAGGTACATTTATAGAATAACAAAATGACTATATAAAAAACTAAATAAATAAATCAGTAAAATCAAATGAAAATTAACTAAGTGTAATAGACATTTTTTTTTAAATAAGTTAAAAGCAATTGTCAAAAATTCTTACCAGAGTATTTGATTGGCAATGCATCATCTCGTAATTTTATTATATTTAAAGTTCGATTCAAACAACTTTCCCTAAAATGAAGTGAGCAGATAAAAGTAACTTTTTCATTACATTTAATATTTTCTGCTTCTATGTAACTCGGCCATTTTCCTCTTTTGTTTCATCTTTTGGTAATCTAAAATAATTAATATATTTTTAAATATTAAAATTATCGATATAAACCATATGTTAAAGTAACGACACTAGCCATGTAAACAATATTATTTACGGACCGAAATATTATAAAAATATAAACGAAAAGAGCAATATAGCATAAATAGAACACGCCAAAATACGATATGTATCGATTTATACACGCAATCATTTTCAGAATAACTTACTTACGTTTTAAATACTGTTATTCCAAGAAAGTGTTTAACTTACCGGTGAAACGTAATATTGCTCGGTTTGCGGGATATTGATGACGCACAACCAATTATACAGCACCTAGGCATTGTTTTGCATAAATAATTTACAATTTTCTGCCATGAAAGTTATATAAATTAAAGTTATAAATGAAAATAACCACAAAACTTATAACACTGACAGCTGAACTACTTCCGAGAATACGCAAAGTTCATAATTCATCGGATAACTGTTCAAACGCGGGAAGGTGAATAATTCGAATGTGGAAAAACTTCTTTGGGATAGGGTATTTGACAACATGAAAAATATATTGAAAATTGTGGTCATCCTATAAGATAATAGCGTAATAAATAACACATATTTCACTTTATTTTAAATGAAATAATCTATAGCTTTCAGATTACACATAATAAAATCAAATACATTTTGATGTTTTATCTGAGATGAAAACGCCTTGTAAATGGTTGCTAATCCGATGATGCCACACGCTAGTCAATATGGATTCCTGTTGTATGACGAGGATTGTGTATTTACTTGTGTTAATGCCATACGAAACATAATATCGGCGTTTGACAAAAACAGTGTGCTTATTGTATAAAACAACAAATGTGCTTATTGTATAATAAAGAATAATTGAAATCGATCTTTCAAAATGAATCAAATACCTTATTATTTGAAGGAAAAAAATCGAGTACATTTTTATCATTCGAATAATACTTTATAAGTGTAGTATAAGTATAAAGAATAATACTTTATAAGTATAAATAAAGGATTATTACTGTTACTATACCAGTAACAGAAACTACAGTTACTGTATAGTAACAGTAGTTTCAGTAAAATTTACACGCATTTTTTCACAAAAAAATAAAAATAAAATTAGTTCTACAAAATGCTTAAAATACACTAGTCCCAGATACACCGAGATGGGATCTTGGGATGCCAGGGACTGGTGGAATATTTAAACATTTTTACTTAGATATTCATCAAAATCCATTGTTAATGTAAATTGACTAAATATAATAATTATAGTTTACTTGAAATTTACTTTAATACACAAATACGTAATTCTAATGAAAAATCCAATGAATTATTCAAATATTCAGATAAAAGATTTCAATTACTAAATGATTAATCCTTCGTTAAATCGATAGTTGTTATAGTAACGCCCATCGCTATCGTCTTTCCTTTTGAAGCAAAGATTTGGTAACCATGCAGCCTTCTATTTTCTTGACTTTATCTTTACATTTATATAGTTCAAGGCAATGAAATATAACCCATACAGCCAAAAAAGTAAAAACTTTAAGTTTTTACTTTTTTGTCGTTATCCTGCTGGATGGTTAATATATAGTACCTAATACAAAAGTTAAAAAGAGTGGGTATTGCAAATTATATTGATTTATAGGTAAATAGTGTATTGTGTATCTAACAATAGCGGTTCATCATCATTCATAATCATAAATATGATCAGTTTCAATAGTTTTTAGAATATAAATTTATTCAACTTTCACAACAAGTACTTTCTTTTAATAAATAAAACACTTGGAACATAAGTGTTTTTATAACTTTAAATGCTTTTAAAACTTTGATGATATAAAAATTTATTTTGATTATTATCAGATAGGTTATTCAAACGACAAACCCTTTGTATGCTGTTACCACAGGACACCATAATAAGCTACAATACTAAGATCCTATATAGTTTTCACTTATTTATAGTACCTATTCATTGCTGCAATTCTTAATGTTTTTATTAAAAATAATTACAGGATTTTACTGTAGGTGAATGATTTGCAGTTAAAATATCATTTACAAATGACAAGTCTTAAAATATTTTATTGGCTACTAGTAGGTTGTTCTTGTGTCATTTCATATGCCCTTTCCAATGTGTCAGTAACAATTTTCATATCATTTTCAATACTGCGAGCCCAATTTTCAACATCGCCTATTTCTTTCAATGCACTGCTAAAGTTTTCAACTAGAGCTAGCCACTGTTGTGTTTGCTTAGCAAAGTTTATAGCTCCCTGATGTAGTAATTTCGCTTCTGCATCAAGTTTCTTTTGATTTAAATAAGCTTGAGCCACACTGAAATAATTTCATCAAGAAATATTAGTGAAATACAGGTGCAGAAGTTTGATAAGATTTGATTCAGAATTACAATTCTATCTTGAATGTAAGTCTTAAAGCATTTTAAAAAGGTAATGGTTTTCAGTTATGAATGTATCATACCCAACATTGAGGTGATCAACAAGAGCTTGAGTTAGGTCATTGGCAGCAGCTATACATTCTTTACGTTTTTGCTCTGAAAGAAAGATATCATGACCATCAGACCATAAATGACAATGGTTCATAACAATAGCCAAACTAGGACTACAGGAAAAGGGTAATAAAAGAACATTTTACCTTGAACAACTTTTTTTGCAGCTTGTTTCGTTTGATGGTCTTTGATCAGTGACGATAACATATTTTGTTAGGTCCTAATATAGATAATTCATAAAGATACAGTAATCATAAAGCTCAATACCTTTATTACTTCTATATTAATTATCTAATAAATCTTTATCATTAACAAAACAAACAACGAAAAGTACTATTTTTTGTAATGACAAACACGAAATGACATTTGTTTGACAGACAGACATCGATAAATTTATATAATGACAGCGACATTCACACTTTTTATATTGTGTTTTACGGCTCTGGATTCTCTTCTTTTTGAACTTTCCTATATAAAAAGTTTAAAAATAGATATAAATCTAAGAGTACAACTTGTGGTAAAGCTGTAAAGAAGTTTAAAAGAAAATAGAAAAACAGATGCCCTAAAACTCTACAGTTCTTGCTTATTGTATATTATGTCTACGTGGGTCTGGAATAGAGATGAATACTTTAAAAACTTCTGGCAATTTTGGAAGGTTTGTGGAGAAAATATTTTTTTGTTGCTTTAATTTTGTTGCTTGTAAATAAGGCTGTAAATCATTTTTTAACGATTATATATTACTAACTAGCTAGACATATACACAGACTTACCTTGCATGCTCATTACATCATCATGTATTAAAATTATGCCCGCGGCTTCGCTCACGTTAAGAAATATTTAGGTAAAGTATGTACTATAAGACACGGTGGCCACTCATCATCGGGTAAATTTAACTCAGTCAAAAGACAACGATAACGCGTTTTAAAAGACTACTAACGCCATCTATTGTCAACATTTAGAACTAAAAATTATTTTGTTCGTTTTTTTTATTCGTTCCATTGGGTACTGATAGGTTCAAACTAGTGTTGTTGCTGATGCGGGTTTTTTCTATATCAGTGGATGCTGATGTTTTCAGATTAATATCAGCGAATGCTGATGCTGATATTAATAAATTATTTAGATAAAACATATCCGATTATTAAAGTATTAGAAAATGTTATATGTATGTATACTATTTTGAATAAAATAGGGACGTAGACAACTTTTTTATATTTTTAATTTTATAAATAGTTTTTTTTTTAAATATTTTTTAAATATATTTTATGTATGAAATATATCTAAAAATATTTAAAAAACTATTGTTCATATAATAAGCTGAAGTCTAAAAATTAATTTAAATTCGATCATGATCATCGCCATCTTTCATTCATTTAATTTTCATTTTACATGTAGAAATTAATTTATTCCCTTGACATTGGCAGAATTGTTCTCCACCAATCAAGTGGATTTTCCGATACTGTAATTTATTTTTCTTTACTATACTGTTTAAGCATATTTTTTAGTTTGACATCTGAAGAGTCATTGTTAGCAGGGCTTTCTTCCTCATTACTGGATTTCAGCATTATTTTCAAGTTCACTTTGCAGAGTTAGTATAGAATCACTGCTAGTTGAGGGTTGATCTTCGCTTCCTCTTCCCATTGATATAGCAGTTCTTGACCTCTTAGGGGATGGTGAATAAGTTTTTTCTACATTACATAGCTTAAGAATTTATGTTTCAACATTTTCGATTAAAATTTCGTTAAAGAATTTTTTTTATAACGAGGATCCAAAAAGGTAGAAATAGTAAAAATAAAATTATCGTTTAAGTTACAAAATATTGAAACAACATTTGTTTTCAAAGCCATAATGAGACATTTTGTTACCTTGGAGTTGTCTGTTTTAATTAATTGTTCATCAAGTTGCCTTATCAATACCTGAATGAGTGGCATGATTGAAGAAATCAAAGAATTTGAATTGGTCTTCCTCGAAAGGTCACACATCAGAAATGGCAAGTAGATCATGGCTATTACTGTATATACTTAATGAATCCCTAATTTTTAAGAATCTCTCCATCATGAAATAAGAATTGTTCCATCTTGTGACACAGTCTTGAAAAACAGATAATTTATGTTGATCGAAACGCTCTTGAATAGTATTCAATTCTTTTTGTGCTATTGTTGAATGGTTGAATTTTTTTTTAAATTTTGTTTTACGTGTGTGATACTTTGATGAAATTAATTATATTCTCAAAACAATCTAATGAGGAAATAAGTGGCAGCTTGTTTATAAACTGTTTCTAGATTGGTTAAAACTCTACATAAGTCGCGCTAGGTCCTGCCGTTAACGAACACGTTACGACTTGAACATTAGCATTAAAAATCAGCATCGATTGTTGCTGATGCGGATGCTGATGCTGATATTAAAAACAATGCTGATAAATCTACTGATGCTGATGTTCGCAACAAGCCTGGTTCAAACTAATACATTTACATCCTCCATCATCCCTTAATTTATCCCCATGGAGGTTGAATTTATTAAAATCATATTTAAGCGGACGTCTTCATCATAGTAGCTCCAATGTTTAATTTCAGTTCAATCAATCTAAAATCTAAGAAGATTTATACAAACTTTCATCCCCTATTTTATCCCCTAAGGTGTGGAATTTATCAAAATAGTAGCTTTATGCATGCAGTCTCAATCCGATCGGTTTAAAATTGACAAAGTTTTATACAAGCTTTCATCCCCTATTTTATCCCCTTGGGGGGTAGAATTGATCAAAATCCTTTATTAGCGGATTAGCGAAAATCCTTTCCTTTCTTAACATGTACCTGCATGCCAAATTTCAGCCCGATCCGTCCAGTGGTTTGGACTGTGAGTTGATAAATCACTATGTCAGTCAGTCAGTCAGTCACCTTTGAGTATATATATTTAGATAAGGTGTATGTTATAAATTTTACTATTCTCATAAATTACCATGCCATACCAAAACAATGTTTATTAAATTTGGAGCAGCTCGGCAGTGTATTAGATTAGCGCCTTAGGCCACGATCGTTGTTGTTAAGCGACTTTCGTAAGGGTCGGTCACAGGATAGGTGACCAAAAAATTATTATCTCAAGGTACTCCGTGCTTCGGAAGACACGTTAAGCCGTTGGTCCCAGATGCATTTGCAGTCTTTAATACCTACCGTAACCGTATCGTCCTTAATATCATAAATCATTCAAATCGCCAGTAAGGTCGAACAGAAATGCTAAATCACATATCCATTTTGGGTCACTCAATTCAGACAGTGGTTTATCTTTTATTTACATAAAGTCTTTTATCTCATTACAAGCTCGTAAAACCGTTTCAGCATTTTCCCTTTGCTTTGCCATCTGACTTCAGAATAATATGTTACATCATCATATTCGGCTGATATTTCATCCAAAAACGCCTTGAATTAACGATGCTTAAACCCTCAGGATCAAATTAAATTGATGGTTTTTACTACCGCATTTATGGAGTCGAATGGTGTTAGAACACAAGTTCTGTTGGTGGATAATGCAGTGAAGGACTATCAAATCATCTTTTTGCAAATTTAATTCAGTTGTTTTTTCGTTCAAAATTCTGATGAAATCTTTACGTAAGCCGACCATAGAAGGTGCATCATCTGTGCATACTCCAACTAATTTTGACCATGGCAAGGCAAAACTTGTTAATAACTCTTGAACTTCATTAAAAATGTCCTCTCTTGTAGTGGTTCCTTTTAGCGACTGTAAAGCAAGCAATTCCTCAGAAACAGTGAACTCTTTATCAACACCTCGAATAAATACAGTCAGTTTAGCTGGGTCCGGCAAATCGGTGCTCTCGTCTAATGCTATGGAAAATGTTTCAAAACCATCCACACGGTCAGTCAATGTTGTTTTTATATAATCAGCCAACATTATTCTTTCGCGTATACAAATTTTATTAAATATAATAACTCATCTTTTTTTTAAAGATATAGACTACTAATTGTTTCTGGATTCTAGAAGAGATTACTTACATACTTAAGTTATGCGTGCTGTCGTTGCCAGATGTTCTGGTAGTAAGCGTATGATTGCGCTGCATTAATTATACGAGGCTAATGGAAGACGGCTATCGATTTTCGCTTATCGTTTATGACGGTGCCGGCTGCGTTCAACATTGGAAAAAGATTTCCGGACTTTATTCATTTCACCTCCCCGAATTTTAAATGTAGAACGAGCTAATCACTTTGGTTTTTTAATGTAATTATGTAACTGTCACTTTTGATTTTCTGATTGAGTATTTGATAACTTCAAATCAAAAGGAGGAGGTTCTTAAATCCTCTGCATTATGTTTTTAGGGTTCCGTAGTAAACAAAGAACCTTTATAGTTTCGCCATGTCCGTCTGCGGTTTAACTTAAAAACAATTTGTACTAGCAAGTTGTAATTTAGCATGAGTATACACGTTAATTACGTCGACAAAGTGGTAAAGTAAAATTTCGAAAAATATTTTGTTTTTAGCATACTCCCTACGTTTAAAGTGGGGTGATATTTTTTTCCGTCTTACCTAAAGTATGGGCATCTTTAGATAGGTCTTTCAATAAATCAGTAGTACCTATACATAACGAAGTTAAAAGGAAAACTGTCACACTTAAGTTGGCTTTACAAGTTTACGAGTAATAGTCGACCAATTGTATTTAACTCGAAAATTGCGAACAATTCCATAGAAAAAAACAGCAAACATGACATTTTTCTTTTTGTTAATGCATAATGTTAAGGAACCCTACGTGCGCGCGTCCAACTGGCACTTGTGTGTATAACTTAATATACGGCCATAACTTCGTGGTATATAAACCGATTTTAACTTAAGTATATTTTTTTATTTGAAAGGGTATTCTTTCATAATATAAATTTTATTAAAATCGGTTCAGAATTTTCGCTTAGAGCAAATTGATAATTTACTATGGTTACCATCAAGTATTAACGTTGGTTCTTGTTTTATATTAGACGGATTAAGTGTGTTACTTTGGCTGGTAACATTCGACGAGACAGTGTCTCAAATGTAACTTAAGGTATATACTTGGAAAAATTATTAGTTGTTGAACATTTTTTTAAATAAAACCTTGATAAATTAGAATAGTATTTCTCACATTATGGATCGCGAACCACAAACGAGTCGCGAATAATTATTAAATGGGCCCTAATGAGCGATTAGCCACTGTTAGACATATTTTTGTCCTGTAAAGCAGCTAAAAGGTGGCTCCCAAGAGTAAAAAGTTTTGTTAGATGGGCCAGATCGGAACCTAATTAACTTTGGGAATAATTGAATTAGGATATTAAAAAATTCTTTAGAATAATCTGAATATTATTTTACTTTATAAGATATTATTTTTAAATATTGGAAGGAATTCTATAAATCTTTTTTGTGTGCTTATTATTTGTGAACCACCTTTAAAAAAAAATTTAATAAGAATAGTAAAACGTAATAAAAATATAATGTTGTTTAAACAAAAAATATATTATTTCAACCACGTTAAAATTATCGTAACTTATTTACATTTATTGGACCTAATTACAGCAAGATAAAAAAATATCTTACAAATAGTTAGGTATTTATAAAATAGTAATATAAATTCTTTTATATTCTTCTCTTTGTATATACTACATAGAAGTTTCTGCTATAGAGTTAAGAACTAACTATAGATTTAAGGCTATTAGAGTTATGGATAGCGGAATATTCTATGTAGTATAGTCTCATTTCGTTAATTTTAATCAACTTTTTTTTCGGCATTAGTTATGACACTGTATTGCGCTTTCAAATTCTCAGTAAATTCAGGATCGTCCCAGCCCCAGAGATTGTGGGTGCCGTCTCCTGTGCGATGAGCTCGTTTTTTTATTATATCCGGTGATACACTCTTCAAATCATATGCTTGACCAATCTGAGAACAAATAAGATGAGCAATGTTAATGGGTATGCAAAGATTTTTTAAACGATTTTTATGACTTATACCTTTCAGATATGTCAATCGTACATACCTTAAAGGTAAAGGTACATTATCTACACATCTAAAGTTGAAAAAACAATAACCATTCTTTAATCATACATATAAAGTTTAGACATGGTAATTCATAAACCAAAATACATTGTAGTTTAACATCTTTGAGGGAATTTGATATATTATGGTAGCTTTATATGTGTACAGAGAATAAATGAATTTAATTAAGTATTTTCACAATAATTATATCTGTGATATATGCCACTGGCATCATAAGATCCCCAGCGCTGACTGACGAGTATTAGAGACTGAAGACACAAGTATACAAGTGTATACAAGCATTCTTAAAACGAACGCTATAGCCTTCTACGACAACAAATAAATTACGTGCATTGATTTGTTGAGAGCTTTTAATGCCAGACCAAAATACAATAGCTGAATATTGTTTAGCATTTGTATCATTATGTTTCCCATAATCAAAGTTAATGGCAATTAATTAAATTGTTGACAAAGACTTGGGTGTAAATACAGGTTTGGGCCTTAGCGATTAAGATTTTAATATGCGAACGATTGTTATCATTACCTTAGCCATCAAATCTATGAAGACGACCGTGGGCGTGAGCATGTTGTAAAATGGGTATTCCGTCGCTCTATAGTCCCAGGGAAAAGTGTGGTGGTAGTTGTGGAAACCCTCTAAGCAGAACATCCAGATGGCGACATTGTCACGTGGGTTTAAAGATCTGTGAAAAGAGTACAAATTTTTGTTAAGGAAGGAGATTCCAACTGTTACCATGGACTAAAGGACCAAAGGTTTAGTAAAATTATTATCGTCTTTCATGGCAGTGGAATTTATAAGTGAAAAATGACGACTGAACTTGACTTACATGTTTATATGAGTGATAAATATAAATCAGTGTTGAGAAATTTTATTAACCAGTAAAGAAGTGGTATAATAGGCGGATAAAGCGGCATAAAGTAAGATAAAGTATGTGTAGGCATAAAGGACTAATATATATATATATAGACATAATTGTATGTTCGTATATATTAATATATTTTGTTCGTCAGTTTTAAATGTATTAAAATATTTGTTAGTTTCTACTTTATCTGTTAGTTTATTTTTTTTAAGTATAAAAGTATATATCTAAATATATATAACTTGAAGGTGACTGACTGATATAGTGATCTATCATGGTACAGCCCAAACCACTGGAAGGATCGGGTTGAAATTTGGCATGCAGGTAGATAGTTATGACCTAGGCATCCGCTAAAGGATTTAGATCAATTCTACCCCCAAGGGGATAAAATAGGGAATGAAAGTTTGTATGAAACTTGGTCAATATTAAACCGATCGAGCTGAGACTTTACATGCATAAAGCTACTATGACGTAGGCATCCCCTAAGAAAGGATCTTGATCAATTCTATCCCCAAGGGGATAAAATAGGGATGAAAGTTTGTATGAAACTTTATCAATTTTAAACCGATCTTACTGAGACTTTGTATGCAAAAAGCTAATATGATGTAGGCATCCCCTAAGAAAGGATTTTGATAAATTCCACCCCTAAGTGGATAAAATAAGGCATGAAACTTTTTTTTCAGGTATTTTACAAGATATAATTATTAAGATTATAAAGATATAATTATACTCCTCATAGCAAATATCGTCACAAAGAATATACTTTATCATTTAAAAAACGTAATAACCCGAACGAACTAAAATTCGACCTAACAAAGTACAAAATTACCATTGCAAATTATCCTTTACAAACGAAATTGTTATTTAGTAAGTAATCGGATTAACATACTAATTAATTATTTGAAGTTATTCTGACGGTTTTAATTAATGTAATATGTTAAATTATGCTAATTATATCAATCTAAAATGCTTTTTGATTATTAACACATTATATACAGTGTGCAAGCTTTTGTAATGTGAGATTATTGTATAATTTGCTAGTTTTACTTCTTATTTGATATTCTGTTAAAATATAGTGTTGAATCAATTAAACACAAAGCAGTATATAGGATTGTAACGGTGTGTCGTATCATACTGTTTATTTTGTCCATTCAAACTTTTTCTCTCCGACCTTTAAAATCATTTCATTTTTAAAATTCGCTTAACTAAATTTCAAATTTTTAGAAACATAACATGCACATTCTGAATTTCAGTACGTTTAAAATTATAACGGCAAGAACAGGGATCAGTGTAAATTTAATCATTTATATCATTATAATATACATGTAAACGTATAATTGTTATGATATAATCTATGTAAAACATATACTAAGATGTACCTTCTAAGAAAAACCCGGATACGGGGTATGTAATTTTGTGTTTTCATTCATATGTAAAGTTTTGTAATATATATATATGTTTGTAAATTCCATAACGAACTTTTTTATATTACTTTATTTTGTTTGTTATTTTATTTATGAATTATTTTAAAGTTGATTTTATTTGCTGTGACTGCAAATGCTGTAACAGTGTTGTATTAGACTCTATGTTCTATAGTATTGCTGTTTATTTGACTTTACACAATGGCGGCGTGAGACCTAATTATGATGTGGACTTGGTACATTTTGCAAAGCTCTCCAATGGCGTAAGTAGTAAAGAAACTAATAAAAAATATTGGATTGCAATACAAATGTTTTATCATATTGTCGACTTCTCTAGCCGAGTGACTCTCACGTTAGTTTCAAAGTCCCTATCTCTAAGATCCAATAATCGATTTGAGAGATTTACTTATGAAGGAAACGAATTTTGAATTATGTGATGACCTTTTACTGAATTGCGAGTGACGAACAACTGAAGATTATGGTTGATTTGAGTGACTTAAAGCCCGCTTACAAAATTGGAATTCAATTAAATCGATTGGATTAGATCTGATACAAATAGGAGTTGGACAGAAACTTACTTGTCATAAGGTCGGAATCCGTAGTGGTGGGCGAAACTATTAATAGACCACACTACGTTGATGCCGAATGTGTAACGTAATATCGTTGGTATGCAGAAGGCGTTCAGCCATGTTTCATTCCAGAAGTACACGGGAATGATGGTAGGCAATACGAAACACAAGATTGGCATCATCTTCATGTAGTGCCTGTAGAAAGAAAATAACTTATCCTATGAAATGATAACACCGCGAAATCCGCATAATATTACAAATATAAATATTCAAAAAATTTAGCGTTTTAGCCTATTTCCCCCGCATATGATGCTTCACGTAGGTGAAAGAATATTTAAAATTGGTCCAGTAGTTTTGTTGTAAACAAATAAACAATCAAATATTTTCTCTTTATAATATTAGTATATGTCAAGTTCTTTAAAGAACTCTCTTACATTTTTATAATTAAATTTGTATGTGATTGAGCACTGTTAATATTTCTTATTGAGGACAGGATGGTGACATAATTTTTCTAACATTTGAGAGCTTCAAAGAAGGCAAGGGTCGTTCTACCTGTTTTATTTTATACATATTTAACAATGTTTATAAGAGTAGAAACACATAAAAACAAACTGATATTTAATTTGATAGATTTATTTTAATGGATCCACTTACTTCTTCTGAAACATGACGACAGAATCTTCATATAGATCGGTCACATCAATCCTTTTTCCACCTTCGATAACCTCAGGGCTTTTTTTACAACATAGCCAACCGCAGTGAGAGAAAAACAGACCTCTCACGGAGTTGTGTGGATCTGCATCTGTGTCCGCGTACTTGTGGTGGGTGCGATGGTCTCGTGCCCATTCAAATATACAGTCCTGTATAACAATTTATGGAATTTCAATATTCCGTAATCTGTTACTTTTCTCGACATTTTTTTTCAATAAGCTTGTTTTTGCTTAATACAGGTAACATGTATGGTATGGTACTTAACCTGACGTGCTTCCTAAGTCAGGTTACTACATTATGTGAGTTTTTGTGTGAGTTATTAAGGTTTAAAAATTAAGTGAAGAATTTTGACACTATTATATAACCTGACGTATAGTTGACTGTAGATAATGTGGAAGATTATTATGAAATTTTGTTACAGTGTAGGCAATATATTGTTCAATTTAGTTTCATTGGTTCTTTTCTTTAGTACCTATAATAAACGCTAGTCAGGAAATCGAAATGAACATAAAATTGTTCACCTGAAATGCCATTGTCTGCCAGATCATGAGTAAAATTCTTAGGGGCGTGCGAGCTTTATATCCTTTGTGAGTCCAGAGCCGATGTGAACCAGCACCGACTCCGATCGCACACGCTAAGTGCATCACGCATGCTAAACAAATAAATGTAACTAATTAATTGTAACTAAAACTTAAAATGTAACTAATTAATATTGTCGAAATTAAATCACGCAGACACAGTCATTAGGGGATATCTTCTAACTCGATCAAAAAAGCTTATACAGAGAGTATAGAATGCTTGTGTAAGATACTGTTTAAGATTCTGTAATTTTAAAGGAGCTCGATGCTCGGATTGTGATAACTTTGTTAAGCAACTTTCGCAATGGTCGGTGATAGGGTGGATGACCAAAAATTTATTATCGCAATCTCCTTCGTGCTTTGGAAGGTATGTTGAGCTATTGGGTCCGCCTGCATTTGCAGTCGTTATCGCCCACCAATCCGTAATGAGCCCGCGTGGTGGATCATTGCTCATTATCTCTATATAATTCGAGTCGAGTCTATCCAGTGTACCCCGTAGTGGGGACATTAAACAGCTGGTGATGATGATGATGATACATCAGACAAATAAAAAGTGCTCATGTGGTTACTACGTTAATTAATTGAACTTAACTATATAAAAATACTAGCTTTCGTTAGCGGCTTCGCCCGCGTGGACCCTAGGGAAATGTTTAGTGGGATAAAAAGTATCCTATTATCTAAGTCAGCTAACACCCTATCTGTATACCAAATTTCATCAAAATCCGTTCAGTAGTTTCGGCGTGATTGACCGACAAACATCCAAACAAAAAAACTTTCACATTTATAATATTAATAGGATTATTCGAAGAATATAATATAAAAACATCTTTCCCTTCCGGAAAATACAAATCTCACAATTTTCCTTTCATTTTAGAAAAGTGAACGTTTCGTTAATAGTAATAATATAAAAGATAAATTATCGTCTAGACACTATTTTACTTACCAAAGAGATTTGTTTGCCATTTAGCCGATGTGAATGCCAGATATAATCCGTAAAGCGAGACGGTGTGCAGAAATATGAACCAAACTATGTTGAAATAGACGTACTCATATTTTTTTGGGGCAGCCTGCTTCAGCTTAGAGACATCGGCGGCCAGTCCTAAATCTGCCGTTTGTGTCTCTGCTTCGAACAGGACACCACTGGGTATCGGATCTACTTGAGGTGGCATGACTAGAAAGTGATTTTATTTTTAAGCTATTTTTATGTTATTTTTAACCACAGAATTGTATTAAAAGAGCACTGGGCTAACACTTTGTCATTAAAAGAGTTATTTGTCATTAAAAGAATTAACCGGTCCGCTCCAGTAAGTAATGATAATGGTCCTAATGTTATTTTGGACTATTGCACTGTGTTCCAAGCAGCTGTAGGTAACTGTGCCTTCCAAACTTTAGCACAAATGGTGAAATTTTGGCATCATTGTTATCAATTAAAATACAAAAAGTGAATCCTGATGTTGTAATAACACTGATGTCTGGCTTAAATGCTTAAATGCAAAATGATGAAATTGTTGATCCAATTTTACGAAAAATTACAAATTATTAGACACATCACTCACCACACGAGTCGTAAAGGACAATAAATTAATTTTATTTTACAATTGAAATTTATAGACGTCCATTAGGTCATAAGTTAATTGAATTCAATGAATGAATTATCTTTTTCACAATAAATGAATTGATGCCAACGTTTAATAATATGCTAATGTTTTACTTATGTAATGAGTTGTAGGTATCAAATACATTTTTATGTATAAAATCCGTGGCAACTATCCATTAATTGGATTACTAGCATATGGTCAAAAACGTAAGTAGAGAGATACGCATTACGTCGTTTCTCAAGATAGATTCGCAACTTGTCAGAAATATCATTCAACAGACGCGCAATGCGACAGATCGCACTTTATCAGATATTTGAGACCGTCTACCAATATTGTCATCTGATACCAAACCGCGATGTAACTACTGCTAACATGCCCTTAAATTCCCATTCTTCTACTCGTACTACTAAATAGGAATGAAGGGACGAGACAACCCACTGACATTATATAACTTGGCACAGTTTATTACATCACTAGCGAGCGGCACCACTTTAACGCCAAAGGTTAGCAATGGTTTGTCTTCGACGGCACGCAGTCAGAGTGACAGGCTTTCAAGCGCATTTTCGAAGATGCTATGGCAGGGCTCTCTTGGTCTAAGAACGTTGCACGTCAAAAGTTAGGAATTTTAAATATGCCATTGTAATGCAATGATAAAATGAAAGTGACAAATCATAACCTTTGAGAAAAAAAGTTACATGATCATCATAATTGTAAAGTTTTCATAATTCATATTTTGTGGATTGGATTTGTTTGGGTGGAAATTCAAAGCTCAATGGTTCCGGTGAACTCAATCTGCGTTACTTAAAAAGCTTAGTTTTGCGGGAGGAGCTTAGGTAGTTTATAATTATGTAAAACGATTTTATATTTTCATGCTTCCATACATCAAATAATCACATATGAAAATATGTACGAATCAATAATGTTTATACGCAAGAAACTAGTTTAGTCACTAGACCAGAACAAATTTATATAAATGAAAAATTTAAGTTGGGTTATTAGAAACATTAGTAAGCTTTGTACTATAATTAAAACTGAGGTTACGGAGGCGAAGAATGATAACAACATCAAATGATTTATGTTAGAAACCGCATCGAATATCACTGTAGAATTCAATTTCTAGATAAAGTAAGGGTGCTGTTCTACCTATGAGCGGAGCGATGTCGTTCTTGATCTATTAAAACTGTAACAACATTACTATGGTAAAGGTTAAAGTTAATATTTCTTTAGTTAATAAAGCTTTTAAATTGGCAGTGTCAATTGTTTATCTTCAGTTATGCTGTTACACGCGGCGTAATCCATGTGGTCAAAAGGATCTACTTATAACTAAGAGATCCGCGGTGAAAAATAACAGATTCCTTCCAATTATTCCCACACATAAAACCTAACTACGCTTTTTTACAAGAAAATATTTCTTATCTATGGTTATATAGTACTGCTAAGCGGGTTTGGTCCTTGCCGGTTAATAATTACAATTGAACAAGATAATCTCCCTTTTTCTTTATGTCTATTCAGTATAGGAAATCATATGGCGAGTCTTATAGCGCATGTAAAGTGTGTCATTGTAGTTGGGAATAGCGTATTATGAGCGGTGGATTTGTAGGGCAAATAGATGCGGAACTCCGTGGGCGTGCTCGCAACTGGGGCGTGAATCGGAGATTCCATTTTGAGGAGCCTCTTGCGACCACTCCGATTTTTCCGCTCCGTCGGTAATCCACAAATGTTCGCGTCTGTCTACAGCCAGACATCTTTTTTTTTTAAATATAATGTGTCTTCAGCTAACTTTTTACCTTCGACTTCGTTTGCGTTAACTACACGGGATTATTCTGCCTACCATTATACGATATTTTGCCAAGTTTCATACATACTAGGGTGAATTCCCAAAATCCTTTCTCAGTGCATACCTACCTATACTATAAAACGAAGTATGGTCCAAAATTTCAAGTTTCTAATCCTAGAAATACTACTAGTTTGGGTTTGTGCGTTGGGAAGAGAATGAGAAACGGAAATGGGCAATCTTTTTGTAAATAAAAATCTTTTTGCTAGAATTTTTGAGCAAGATTGCCGTTTGTAAGTGGTAGCTTTATGCGCTCTGATTTGTACACTATATAGTCTGAGGTGCAGGACAATTAGAAATGTAGTCTCTGGTTTTGAGATTTGGACAAGCTCTGTAATATAATATGACGGTTACAATGGAGGACTAATAAATAAGTTACAAACGTAACAGCCTGGCGTATCATTGAATAGAACCCAACATTACACCGTTGCATGGCGTCAGGAGGAGAGTAAAATAAACTAACCATAAAAATATTCCCAATGGAAGCTGTCTCTCTTTTATTATATATCGTATGATCAACGCTGCAGCTGTCATGTTGCTGTAGTCTGTAATTAATCTTGTAGGTAATTTAAATAAGGTAAAACATCGTCGTTAATTGCGCTCTTCTAACTCTCTCGTTATCCACCCCTTTTTCACACTGGCTGACCGACTGTGGAACGGCCTCCCTCACTCCATCAGGAGATCTCCAAATAAATTAATTTTTAAAAAATCCTTTCTATTTCAAAGCTTATGAAGATTCTCGTAATCATATGTATATATTTGTATGTATATTTTCCTGTATATATATTGATATTATATGATATATTTTGTATCATTCGCCATTTGTACCATTTTTCATTGGTCAATAAATTAATAAAGATAATTTTAAATCCATAATGACTGAAGCTCGTTGGCGCAGTGGCTAGTGCGATCGGTCTGCGTAACGGTTGTTAAGCAATTTTTGCAATGTCCAGTCATAGGATGGATGACCAGAAATATATTATCTCGAACTCCTCCGTGCTTTGGAAGGCACGTTAAGCCGCTGGTCTTGGCCGTATTTGCAGTTCTTAATATTTCTCATACTCCCTATTCGATTCTACCCATAGAGAAGAATTGAGGGCATTAGTAGGCTGGAGATTAATTACTTAAAAATAATTGCATTAATTTTTAATGGTAAATGTTGTTTACTTGTAGGATGTTTTGACGTAGTTGTACTTTGGATAACGAATAATGCAATCCCCGAAAAACGGGGTGGGATTAAAGAGTTTTCGTTTGATGTAAGATTAAACAGTTCCTGACTACAGTAAAAACATCTGATACCTTCCAAAATTATTATATTTCGTCAATTGTGTGTTTGTTATGATTTATTGATATTTATTTACTTATAAAACAATCGACCGAATTGCAAATGATTATGTCTTAATTCCGTCTCATTCATGCAACTGAAACTGATATAATTTTAAATATTTTTCTATAACATGAACTTCTAAAATTTTCCGAATCATGTCTCCTAGACTATCTGGCAGCTGTGCTAAGGGTGGAGGCGTAGCGGAGTGTCGCGTGAATGAACATGAGCAAGTTTGACGCTTTCAAAAGAAATTATTTCAGCTTCGTGTTTAACTCCGATAAATACCCTAAATGACGGGCATCTACCAGGACGTTTCAGAAGAACTGAGCATTAGCAGCTTAAAATCTTTATGGGCATCGGCGAAATTCCGAAATTAACGGTTAGATAATTTGGTAACGTTTAAATGAGTTCATTGGATTTCTGAAATTTGTTCTAAACTAAAATGAGGATAACCATCTTTATATGTTCAGAGAGAAAAGAGACGGACTGAACAAGAAATTGTGTCGAAATAACTAGTTTAATTGACGCAATTCATGAAACGGTTTTCAGAATAAACTGATTAGACAACTTTATTGTCCAGGAAATTTGTGGAAGATTCTTATTATTGTAAAAGTTCAGAATTGTTTATTTATCTAATTTAAAAATATCAAAATTTAAATAGGTAGGATGCTACTCGCATGATGTGACCTTGATTTACACCATCCGCATTAGAACCAAAAACTGATTTGTCGTTTTAATTGCAAAAATCAAATGTGTATTTATCTCAGAAAAATAATGTACTAGCAACTCTATATCCTCTATATCCCTTGCGTTAAAATTATATTTAAAATATTTTTAGCGTAATCGAGCGAGTGAAACAGACAGCAAGCTATCGGTAGCCAACAACAGAGAGAAATATAGTCGCCTCACAGACCGTTCGTGCCGCGATGGACTGCTCAAGCAACGCTTGTAAATTACGTTCATGTATAAACCAGTTTATCAGTAGACCGTAAACTAGTCTATTAGTTGATACCCAACAAACAGTCTAAAATACGGTTCGTTCATTCGATGCCCACGCCTAGCTCCTATAATATACGGTGGACTACTCGTTCCGGCATACTTTCAGTGACTATTGAACTAAATAAGACAGCGATTGGAAGCGAAAACTAGTGACGAGAAATCTGGATGATCTAATAGTGTTGGGAAGCGACCGTAGTGACGTGGACAGTGGATTTAAAGTGGATGTTTTGTTATTGGTTTATTTTTGTTAAGTAAATAAAGTCGGATTGTGAATTTATTTGGTGTTGATTTTTATCCCGAACTCGAACTCGTAACAATATTATCCAACATCAACTCATTTTCACAGACACTTTCATATGTGGTGAATGAATATACATAAAAAATACATCAAGATAATTGAAATACTCGAATCGAGTATATTCGGCACCAAAACCGAATAATTCGGCCGCATACCGAATACTAAACG